GTCAAGATATCCCTCATTGGCAGCACGTGATGGGTCTGAGTTCTGTGCTCTATGAGATAGAAGATTTGCAACCTGGCATTAACACTTTGGCATTCACCCAGGTGATTCTCAAATCGTGGTTTAGTTTCCATATCCAAAGCTTAAGCGAGTAGTACACATTTAAATAAAACACTTTAAAACGGTTTAAAACGTGATATATTAGTTAAACTTATTTGATATATCGCGTTTTAAACCGGTAAAATGATTTATTTTAATATATCCAAAGCTACTAACTTTGAATTTCTCTAGTAGTTTTATCTTATAATAAATGGATTTAAAATTCAAAGAGAATCACATTTAATCTTCGAAAGTCAAAAATGCGTAAATATATTTGTACTACAAAATAAATTTTAATCGTAAATTTAATCTGTAGAACAAAAGATATTGTAGACGTATTCTGTTGGAATTGTTTAGTAAATGTTCTCGTTCTGATTTCGTGTTATGAATACGACACGTCCAAGGAAAAGCGAGCGTGACAACATGAATCAATGTTTACTATACATTATAATGACCGAGATTCTCTATTAGGAATTGGCTTACCTGAATTTGGTGCACAATCGATCCAGCACCACGCGACGCCTTCACCTACTTGTAGAATTCATCGTCGTATATACAGCAAATCCCTAATAAATAATTACGCATTAGTGTTCCTGATCTTTAAAGAAATTCACGTTAATGAAAAATTTTAGTAAATTAAAAAAGTTAGATAAAACTTATGATTATTATTATGTGCTCTTACATATATTTTAATGTTAAAATAAACAGGTTTTAAAAAAAATATTTACCCAAAGTCTACAGACATGTTCCTGTTGCTAAGCTGCTTAATATTAATGTAAGTAGATATTTATAGAATCGAACAATTGTGGTTCTAACTCTTAATGTTTAAACTATACCGACAACTTTTATATTTCACTGTAATTTTTATATTATAGTAATCATTATAGACAGTATCTATTTTTGTTATAATGTCTACGACATTGACTTAACAAGATTAGATTCAAGGCCGTCTGCGTAATATTTTGTGAAAGTTGGGTTATGTGTTTTAAATTGTATGTTGCAAAAGGAAGCTAAATCGTATATTCTAAGTAAACGAGACAAATATAACCTACATAAATACACGAATCTTAAATTTTACCTTAAGCATCAATAGTTCTCCTTCAAAATATTGACCTCGTTTCTCGTTTTTGTCAAAAATTTACACAAAATTAATCGTCTCGAGTGTAACACTATAACAAATATTTCACACTTTTCACTATTTTAAGATATCACAAAACATTTCAATTATTAAGTCAATACTTCAGTTATTTAATCGTAACCTAACAACATCTTGTTTTCTAAAAAAAGGTTTTATCACTTTTATCGGACAGATACAAGTCATAGACCTAAATGTCAAAAAAACAGATGATGTTTGGTTCTCGTCACAGTAGCGACATCTATAGCAGAAATCTGTAAGTATCTCTTAAAACTTACGGTTTCCTGAATTCTTAATATGGTAACGAAATAGTTTCACTAAATTATGTAGATGGCGTGCTTATCAAAATATAATTTTCTGCCGTTTACAAATTCAGAAATAAGTACACAATATAAGCACTTGGCATTAAGTTGCGATAATTATTATATTCTACCTCCATGAAACGGCTGACCATACTAGGTCTAGGAACACTGTAACGTGAATCGTATCGTATTAAGATGTTCTAATATATTGTTTAAATAAAATGAAATACTCCGAATGAAATTTTTTTGTTTCAAAAATGACTGAGCATTAAATAAAATCTTTTTTTTAGAAGTAAACGACCATGTAACGATAGATTAACTTAGACGTAAAGTATCATTTATTTAGAAAATGTTTTGGGTTTGCTGTGGAATATGTAGTATGTATATATTTTAGTATTACTATGTCCCACTTTTGACGGAAGCCCCCTTTAATACACTTAGTTCCTATATTCTGGCCTAGGCAAAAAGTAACTGACTACATCAATCTAATGATGTACTTCCTAAGGGAAAATAAAACAAGAAACTTTAATACATCAATTTATTAATCGGAAGTTAATACTGTATTACATAGAAGAAATGCACTTCTTAGAAACATTCAGAAGACCTCCCTTTGGGACAGTTTTAACGGAGCCGTACTCCGTTTTTACATACATACAAACATGTTCGAATGATCTCAAACTGTTATCAAGGATTAATATTATTTATGAAGATCTGCATTGCCACATACTTAAAAATCTATTTTTACTTTTGACAAACTGTAAATTTCCAAACAAAATGTTATAATTTATAAGTATAGCACAAACTACAAATGCCTATGAGATTGTTGATTCTTGTGGAACAAATAAAATTTTGCAAATTAACAACAAATAATAAATTTTCATAACGTTACTATACCGCTGCCACTATTTAAACAACATTATTATCATCATCACAACAAAAGAGGGATTCACTTATCAAAAGAAAAGAGACCTACATTTATTCAAATCGGTGACCACTTCAGAAAGACAGTGTGACACATATCCAACATAGTGAACAATAAATTTGAGGAGAAACACACATCACGAGAGACTACCCATATAAATAGAGAAATCTTAATTCATTCAGTCAAAGTGGAACGAGTATAAAATATTCAAATAGAAATAATCATAATCAGTCTTGTTTAGAGAAGTTATCAATAACGCGAGAGAGTAGTAAACCGCGTCTCGATTTAATATTTATTATCACAAATACAGTATGTCAGATATGATGTCATTCCTTCCCTTGGACGTAACTAGTATATAAATTGCCTGTTAAGCTACTTAGTGTTATTATCACAGTTGTTTAGTAGAGGTGGGTACAGTACTTTGTACATAATAAATACAGGAGCTCCCTGCAAATCTGCGACCATACTCGACACGACACACTTGCCGATATTATACGCAACTATCTACTCTAGCCCGACCGCCCTACTTCCAATAAATTATCTTTGTATAACAACTTTCACAAAACTAACGACAGGACAGGCTAGAATCATCTTTGAGATGAATTATGCATAATTAAACTCTATCATTGCAGTCTTTCTCTTATAATGTACATAAAAATTAAACCTCGTATTCGTAATGTCCTATACGAGACCCACGTATTGTTCACCCCTTACATAAGTTGAGACCCCTGCGTAAGAGACGTGCATCGTCCTTCATTCGAGATGCAGTCTATGATGGGATTAGATAATAACTATTACGTCCCTTTTGAACTGGTACAATTTTGTCACCTCAAGATATAATGTGAAACTAAATTGAACAACAATAAAATAGTAGACCTTACACCTATCATATATTTATTTATCATCTGAATGACGTGAAAGCTTTGTAGTTGCAAATGTGTAATTTGCTCAAATTGTCAAAAAATATATTTTTGTATAGAAAAAAACACTTTCCAAACAAAGTGTTCCTAAGTATTAACAATTGACCAACAAAACGATAGGTTATAGTAATGAAATATCACAGATTCTTTTTTCTTTGGACTGTAATGGGCTTCTAGAAGAAATCGCAATAAAGAACTACTATATTTTGTACCAATTGACTTTGCTGTTATTAGCCCTAAGAACCCCTGTACGTACAAAGAAACTCCAGTAATTAATTACTAGACATAAATGTGAGAAGTATTACGAAAAAACTGAAAAGCAACGAGAAGAATCGACTTGTCCTATCTTAGAACGACTGTTACCGTTGTTTGAAATGTGGAAAGATCAAAATGTTTAATCTTCTAAGTTAAATGCATGTATTTACATTCCTACTTTGAATGAGGAAGTTATAATCCGAAACTCCAAACGTCTATCACGTCGACAGAGACGCATACTTCTAGGCATAATACTCAATATAAGATCTAATCTTCGTATAAAATAATATTGACCTATAAAGTGATCGCTATCACATTGCGAAACAAAAATATTATTTATGTCTTTATCTGGCAATACAGATTGTCTGTTATATCAAAAGCATTTCAAATTTCTTATACTAAATTGTCCCTCAATTTCACTGGATAAGATCATCATTAACAATTAAATAATTTATATAAAATATTATTCAGATTCTACTTCAGCAATCCTTTCCTAGAATTTCACTCATCTTCTATATGTTTCGTGCATTTCGTACATCATACAGACATTTAAAACGAAAGGCACCCATGGATACATAAGAGGGTACCGACACCGACTACTCTAATGAATACTACCGCACTCAAAGACAATCATTCTATGTATTTATACATGTCTTTAACAAGTCCGACTCATAAATAGTGCGGACAAAACATGGTGACATTACATACAAGTATATAATGAGGTTTTTGAGTGTGGTTTGCAATTTACAATCTAGAAAGGTGGAAATGACAATCTGCTCATTTCAGCCACCTTTTATCAATTGGACATTTTTTGTTAGTCAAATACGAGATACTCTGTATTTTAATACATTCTACAGTTCTCATTATTGATATATTCTTTAAATTAAGAAAGAAATAATTTGTCTGTTCTAGAGTTCCATACTTATGTTTTTAAAATGACTAACAAAAATATGTCCCTAAAACTAGCACACTTATCACTAATAATATTTAGTAATTGAAATAGATCTGAATTCTGATAGATTCACAAACATGTATACAATATGCGATTTACTGATTCTATCATTAAATTTTGCCAAATTATGTACTGCCAAATGACAAAACATTACAGAAACTCCACATTTGGATTCAGATCTGAAGAAAAGCAATTATGTATTCTAATAAGAAAAAAAACCTTCCCAATTTAACATAGAGACATTGATTGCAACTAAGTACAATACTTCCAACTGCAAAATTGGGAATCAATGTGAAAAACCTTATTCTAATAAAAAATCAAAACCATTTAAAGTTACCATTATAATGATTACCGTAATAATTTGAATTTAAAAACTAAATAATAACTTTCCTTTTAGGTTTTAAAAAAATTAAGGTGTTTACTGTTGCACAGGGGCTGCTGCGTAAAGCAGGGAACCGGGTGGAAGGTGGGGGTAGGGTACACCCGCGCCCACCGCTGCCTGATAACCGCAAGGTCCGCCACCTCCAACTCCTCCGCTGTAGAACTTGCCACCTACAATACGTAATAAAAATGTTTCTTTTTAATGCTTTAAATTGTAAGTTTTCATTTTCCTTACGTTGAAAAGCTACTCGTTAATGTGATTTTAGGTCAAAAAGCTAGTCATACCTAGCATATCTTGGTGATGAGGATGCATTTGTGGGTAATGAGCTGGTGCAAAGTGAGGTGGAGGAGAGCCAAATGACGACCCTGATCCGTTAGACTTGTTGCCGCTGCCATTGTTGTTGCGGTACTGCTGTCCGTTATTGCGCGCGTTGTTGTACGGCCGTTGACCATACCCATTCTGGTTATTGTATGCGTTTTGATAACCATTGTTGTATCCTCCTTGGTATGTACCCATAGAATCAAAAACATTGGGACTTGGGAAGGGTAAAGTTTTTTGATAATTGTTTTGTCTGTAGCCCTGGTTATTTTGATTCTGGTTTGAGAAACGGGGTGGTTGTTGAGTAAAGTTCTGGCTTTGGAATGAATTTTGACCATCATCACTACCACCACTAGCCATTTTGTTGTTCCATTGGTTGTTCTTTTGGCGGGGTGAACTGGAACCGCTGTTGTTTTCCTTCCGTTGTTGCCATCGGTTACGGCCTGGCGATACGACAAATGTATAAATATCTCTCAAATAATAATAGATAAAATTTCTTTAGTAATACTAATACATAATTTTTACCTGAGTTATTGTTGTTGTTTCTCGCCATATCACTCAATTTAGCTGGAGGGTTCTGTCCAGTTTCGCGTAAAACACCCACCAGGGCACGCGCTTGACGAGCATCGCCATTTGTGAAGTAGGTGTAAGCTGTACCAGATTGCTGGCAACGTCCCGTGCGTCCTGTAAATATTTGAAAGTTAATATAAGCCAATTATAATAGATAAAAATAACTGGACTGACACCATCATAATACTAAAAAGTCTTACCAATCCTATGAATATAGTCTTCAGAAGAATTAGGGTAGTCAAAGTTGACGACAAATTTAACGTCTTCTACATCTAAGCCGCGTGCAGCCACGTCTGTAGCAATAAGTATGGTTGTAGCTCCGTTACGGAACTCTGTAAGCACGGCGTCACGCTCTGGTTGGGACTTATCACCGTGAATAGCTAAAGCTTTGTGGCCATTACGACGAACCGCTCGTGCTATGTCGTCAACCTTAAATGAAATACCAAATTATATACATTTATACCATGTATAAAAAACACAAAAGTAAAAAGATATATGTACTACTTACTTTCTTTTTAGTTTCAACAAAAACAATAACTTTGTTGTCTTTCTCAGATGCAATTTCTTTCAATAAATTGCTTAGTTTAACTTCTTTTTCATGTTCCTCACAGATTTCTACAATTTGTTTGATGTTGTTATTAGCGGACAGATTAAGGGAGCCAATATTAACTTTAATATAATCAGTTAAGAAATCTTCAGCCAGAGCTTGAATTTCTTTAGGCCATGTAGCCGACCACATTAATACTTGTCTGTCGGGGCGGATCTGTTCTATAATCTTTCTGATTTGAGGCTCAAAACCCATATCCAACATTCTATCCGCTTCATCTAATACTAGGTAAGTGCAGCGATGTAAATTAGTGGTGCCACGTTCTAAGAAATCAATTAGACGACCTGGTGTGGCTATGACAATTTCAACTCCACGTTCAAGGTCTCTGGCCTGTGGGCCTTTTGGTGATCCACCGAAAAGGCATGTGTTCCTAATACACCCACGAGCACTGTACGCTTGGGCAACTGATTGTATTTGTTGAGCCAATTCCCTGGTAGGAGCTAAAATGAGTGCAATGGGGCCATCGCCGCGTTGAATTCGTTGCTGATGTAAAATATGAACAGCTGCAGGAAGCATATAAGCTAGGGTTTTTCCAGACCCAGTGGATGCAATTCCTACCATATCACGACCAGATAAAGCTATGGGCCATCCCTGAGCCTGAATGCCTGTAGGCTCTTCATAACCTTGTTCCTTGATAGTGTTAAGAATATGATCAGGAAAATTGCCTTCATCAAACTTTTGGTTAGGTCTAGGTATATTATTGCCGCTTACTGTAATCTCTTTAGCAGCTCTGAATATCTGAACTTCATCATCAGTACGTCCCTCGACATTAGCATGTGGCTTGTAGAAATTCTTTTGAATAGTTTCCAATTGGCCCATATCCCACACTGGTTTTACTAAGCCATCACCAGGATGTTTAGCTTTTCGGCTTTGTAATTTGCGATCATTAAAGTCCTGTGGTTGGCCATTGTTAGAGTTATTATACATCTTCTTTTGCACAAACTGCTGCTGCTGGTTACTAGTTGGTGATCCATTGGGGTTGTTGTAATTTTTGGGTCCAAAGTTGTTCTTTTGATAATTTTGTTTTGGTCCCCCAAAATCATTTTTAGAATTATAGAACTGCATATTACTGCCTGATGCATTTTCTCCATCATAGTCATTTTTCTTTTGCATATTCTGGTTGTTATAATTATTTCTTGGTCTGTATTCTTTAGGTCCACCAAAGTCATTATCATTTCTGTGACCATTGAAATCTGGTCTTACTCCATTGAAATCATTTCTGGGTCTAAAATTCTTATTGCCCATGTTATTCCTGGGACCGAAGTTCTTAGGTCCCCCAAAGTCATGGAGTGGATTATAAAAGAGAGACTTACCGAATTGTTCATTCCGGTCTAGACGAGGTCTGAAACTACAAAATTATCATATATAAAATGTCTATGGCTCTCAGCTATTATTATTATATAGTTATATTTTAAGTTTAGTAAAAATCAAGCATAGAAGATTTGTTCCACTTTTAAAGTTTATATCCTTATCAAACAAATTAAAGCAGTCTACAAACTATTGTAAATCTTTTTTAAGTATATTTCTATCCTGTCTGTAGTTTACGTGAGTAGTAGACATTTAAATAAAACACTGTTGTCTTGTCTTTGTTAAAGGGTTTAATTTAAATAACAAACAAACAAAAAAAATACTTTATTTTCACCACAATGTTACAAAATAAACTTAATTAAAATTTAACAAAAAGTAGCGAGAAAAGGCGGCCTTATCGCTAAAAAGCGATTTCTTCCAGGCAACCTTGAAAATGGAGATTTACAATAATACATGATAATAATAAGGGTAACACTACAGCTATAATAAGTTTATACAATACAGCTATAATAAGTTTATACAATATTAAGTATGTTTTTAAAGTTTGACTTAATAATTAAAATAATTTACCCAATCAAATGACTGTGTAAAACTATGCACATAAGTGAGTATCAACCATTGCCATTTAAGCGTAGCAGCATGTTTCACCGGGAAGACAATTTAGAGAGGTTAAATATAAATATATATATTTTTAAAATATATTACTAAAAAATATAATTAATCCTGAAGGAAAAGGTTTTTTAACTTGTATTTAAAGCTTGATAGTGACTGCGCTTTTCTAATCATAATAGGTAGGGAATTCCAGAGTCTAACAGCATGAACTGAAAAAGAGTTAGAATACGTTTTCGTAGTATGCAGAGGCATAAAGAGAAGAAGATTATCAATTGATCTCAAATCAAGTTCGTGAGAAGCACCTAGGAAGATAAATCGTTTTTTAAGGTAAGAAGGAGTGGTGTGATCAAAAAGGATTCGGTAGAGTAGACAGAGAACGTGCATATCACGCCTCTTTCGTATTGTCAACCAATTGAGTTTTTTACGGTATTCAGAGACATGATCATATTTTCTCAGTCCAAAGATAAAACGAATAGCATAATTTTGCATGCGTTCCAATTTATTTAGTTGTTCTTCAGTGATGTCAAGGTAACATATATCTGCATAATCTAGGATTGATATAAGAAGTGACTGCGCTAGCACTTGCTTCGTTGGTACTGGTAGGAAATTGGAAAGTCTGCGAAGAGATGAACCAGCAGCAAACACTTTCTTACGTACTTCCTCAATCTGTTTTGTCCAAGACAATGTCTGGTCTATATAGATACCTAGGTTTTTCGCACAACTACTGTATGTGAGAGGAACTCCATCAACGCATACTGACTGCAAGTTTGTCCAATCAATCCGCGATAGCATACTCGATGTGCCAAATATAAGAACTTGCGTTTTTGTTGGATTTAGATGCAGGCCATATGACTTGCTCCATTGCATAATTAGCGCGAGATCAGAATTAATGGTATCAATTGAGTTATTTAAATTATTGATATCAGTTTGAGCATAAATTTGGAGGTCATCGGCATAAACATGATATGAAGAGGAGAGGTTTGCAGTGATAGTCTTGATGAAGAGGGAAAAAAGAAGAGGAGATAACACCCCCCCCTGAGGAACGCCAGCTGGAACAGTACACCAAGAAGATATCGTATCATCTACTCGTATGCATTGCTGGCGATCAGATAAGTAGTCTTTGAACCAGTTAGCGACCGAGGGAGATATATTAAGGTTGTTGAGAAGAGCTAAAAGAATGTCATGGTCCACTGTATTGAAGGCATTGCTAAAATCAAGCATAGCTGAGATAGTATAGGTCCTGTTATCAAATCCCCAACGAATGTCGTCTGTTACCTTCACTAGAGCACTGACCGTGCTATGACCGGTACGAAAGCCAGATTGGTAAGGATCAAGCAATGAATTAGAAATAAGGAATTGGTTGACTTGTTGATGTACCAATTTTTCAAGAATTTTAGATAGAAAAGGAAGAATGGATATAGGACGGAAATCGGGAAAACTTTGCGGGTTGCGTTTTTTTGGGATTGGCAATATATAAGCTTTCTTCCATAAGTGGGGAAATGAGCCGGATTCTAGTGAAAAATTGAAGATGTGAGTAATGATAGGGCATATGATATCAAGGATAGGGATTATCATAGCACGGCCAATTCCATCACACCCTAAGGCATTAGAGGAGACGGACATTATGCTTTCTTTGACGACATTCTCAGTCACCGGCGTAAAATTAAATGTTTGATGATTTGTATTGGTCAAATGAGATAAGAAGTTTAATGTTTTAGTTTTATCTAAAAGATTTAGGCCTGAAGTGGCAGAGGAAAAGTGCTGATTTAATTGGGTTAAGCTAATACTACTTGGGATAGGAGAAAGAAGTTGTTTTTTGCCGAAACCTAAGGACTTCAAGAATTTCCATGTTTTAGCAGTATTGCCACCCTCTACTGACTTGTGGATATATTGCCTTTGAGCGTCTCTGCATAACGTGTTGCATCGGTTTCGTACATTTCTGTATTGCTCACGATGATAGTCACTGTTGCTCTTCTTCAGCTTGGCCTTAGCAGCAGTTTTCTTGCGCATAAGTTCTTTTAGATCATTAGTCAGCCACGGCGCAGGTGTGTGCTTGATCTTTACCAATTTAAGTGGAGCATGTTTATCGAAAAGTCTTGTTAAAATTGAATTAAGAGCACTGATTTTGACATCAACTGTGTTTGCGTATAAAACTGAAGACCAATCAATATTTTGTGTATCATCGGCTAGCACTTGTAGATCCATTTTGGCAAAATTTCGTTGCAGCAATGTCTTCCGCTTTATTTTAGGAGGGCGGATAAGGTACGAAATGAAAAGAAGATTATGATAAGAAAAATCTTCAGCTCCCAATTGACCAAATTTGGAGACATGAGAAAGAGAAGAAACAAAAGCAAGGTCAAGAAGAGATGGCGAGCACCCAGGGAAGAAGTGTGTAGCTTGGAAAGGTATGACATTCAGGTTACAAGCGTTGATCAAGGATTTTAGTTTGTTAGCCCTAGAGTCATTTTTTAGAAGACATGTATTAAAGTCACCCATTACAATGACATGTTGATATAAAGGGCACAACCTTTCCAGGAGATTTTCAAAGGTATTAAAATAATTAATTTGTAAAGATGGACTGTAACCTACACCGAGGAGAATCTTAGAATTAGAAAGTAATATCTCTATAAATAGGTGTTCTATAGTGTCTGCCTGGGGTGGAACGGGAGATGTGCTTACTATATTAAATGGTATATTGGAGCGCAGATAAATGGCCACACCGCCACCAACACGTTCTACTCGATCATGTCTTATAAGATTAAAGCCTGGTAAAAGATAGGAAGTATTCGACAATGTTGGCTTAAGCCAAGTCTCCGAAATAAGAATGGCATGTATGTGATCTGAATTAAAAGATATCAATAAGTCATTGTAATGAGCCGGTAGACTCTGGGCATTTATGTGAACCAAATTAAAGTTCTTAGGAAAGTCTGACAAGGTAGCATGAAGTGCCTCATCGAGTGGAATAAACGGGTCAGGAACACTGCTACTACTGCTGCCTGAACTGAGATGGCTTGAGTCAACTAATGGAAGTGACTCCTCACTTGAGTTACCACTGTGCATAAAATATATGAACTAAAATATGTACTTTAATAAACTAAGTGAAATTTAAAATGAATTTTACTCTAATAGCTTACAACAAAAACAAAAATACTTTTTTTAAACAAATGTAGTATGTACCAAAACTTGCTAGCACTCTATGTATAAGTTGTAACATCCCAACAAATTTTTAATTTATTTCACGCAAGCTTAATCTGTAACACAGTAAATAGTCTGTATAAAACGTCGCGATTTAAAAACGCTGGACACTGACACTGTACAATCTGTATCATTATACTTAATTGACATTACAAGATTTGATATTTTGACAGATTTTGTTTAAAATAACAACAATAATATTAATGTTGTAATGAACGTAAAAGCAAAGTTATTTCTATTGAGTTTACTATCATATAAGTTCTAAAATAAAACTATATGTGGACACCTATTATGTATGAACCATCAGTATGAGTATTCCAACTTCTATGGTATGGAGCCTGCACATTGAAGAAACATAATATACAAATTATTCATTGGAATTATATGTTGAATATACTAATAAAGTTGTATATACAAAGATCAGAGTTTTAGGGCCCACAGATAAACCATACAAGTGAAATACAAAATGGTAGTTGTAACTTTTAGAGAAATACAAATGAGCTATTCTATATTGGATTAAGTAATGTCACTTATTATTTGTTTTTCGGGTGTTTTTTAGATCTCGTTTCATATTTACTTGATGAAGCGGCTTGATTCTTTGAAGACTCTATTAAATCCTTGAGATCAGCCTCTGTTTCCACCCGTACACGCGAACCACCAGGAGTGATAATCCTAATAGAACCACCGCTAGTCCAGCATTTGGAAATTCCGAATTGCTCCCTGGCAGCCAAGAATAGGTCACGACGTGACTTGATAAGAAATTCAGACATTGTTATGTCTGATCCTTTAAGAGATGTTTTCTTAAACCACACTCTATCCCTGAGCGCTACATCAATGAATTTAATGACAATGGGCCTTGGCTTATTATTCTTTGCTGTGCTACCCATTCTATGGCATCGATTAAGTGCATCTTTTGAAGCATCAGGCACTAGTAGTGTTTCCGTTAATATTTTTGAGACTACCTGCGGCACATCTTCATTGTTAGATTCAGGCACTCCATGGAGAAGTAACATCTTACGCCTTCTGCGCATTTCCTGATGTTCATTAAACACCATAAGTGCCCTTACTTGAGACTGCAAACACTGCAATGATGACAGGACCAGGTTACGGAAAGCATCAAAATCATGGGTCAGTTTGTCCAAGGGTGTACCAGTGCCGGCCTTAGAAGCCTGAAGATCCCGTTGAAAGTCATTGAGCTGGCTTGTGAAGGTGGTTGTCAGATCAGCTATTGTTTTGTTAAGTATGTCCACAGTCTTATCTTGATTTTGAGTTGCCATGGTGTTATAAAATGATGAAATATGTGAGAGGACAAGTAGTGCACAAGTTAAGATACGTTTTCTTTAACACATCACTTTGATTTAATAGGTATTTAAATTTAAATTTATTTAAAATCAGGGAGCGTCACAAAACACGTCAAACTCGTAGCTACCCTCAACTTTTTTTTTGTTATATTTATCCTTTTTAATTGGCTTGATATTGGTTTTTAATTATCAATAGTACTAATAGTACTCTATTATATAATATTTGATAACAATTATATAAGTAAGCGTTAATTAAACAAGTGTATATCAGTATTGTATATTGTAAAAATTAAAATTTATAGCAAGTAACCGACTAAAGCTCTAAAATTTAATAATTCACTCCCAATTGCCAAAATGCCAAACATCGCACCGCACGGTGCGTTATAAATTGGTATCGTGATATGTTATGTACCTGTCATTATTACTTTCGACTATCTATTAGTAAAATGTTTCGAACTGCGCCAGAAGCTACTGAAATAATCACATCATAAATAAAAATAGCGCGGGAAAATTAAATTAACTTTTCGTATATTCCAAATTAACCTTAAACCACGAAACGTACGAGTCAACTAGTCGACTATAGTTGGTTATAATTGTTTATAGGGAGTCAAATCTAGTACACTTCGAAAGTATGTACATATTAACTTGGCTTCCAATATACTATAGGAAAGTACCCAGTAGATTATACGCAATCGACGCTTATGAAGGTCAATATTTTCGCGCATGCTTATACAATACTCGACATACGTAAGAGTTCAAAAATAATATTTTTTGGCTTTCTCTCGAAATGCAAAATTGTGAGAAACTGTTCAAATTATTCAGATTAACTTAGAAAATTTTAAACAATTGTCTAAAATATCTAAATCCATTATCAGCTGGAGCAACTGCATTTCACAAAATGGCGGCTCGGCTCCGCACCATTTCATGCACCCACAGTTATAGACTTGACGAATTATTTAATGCTGTTGAACAACAAAATCTTACAAATAAATAACTTACATTGGGTGTTGATTATGAAAACTGTTGTATTGCATTTTGACTCCTTTAGTACGTCCCCGGAAAAGGTGGTATACGTGGTGTGGGATGGAAAGTAGGTATCTGTAAGAAAATATCGACAATGAAGAATGATTCAATTTTAAAAGCTCTCTTCACCATTTTAATTAATATTACGAAAAGTAACTTACCTCTCAAATGAGAGAATTTAATAAATAAATAAATTTGTCATCCACTAGAATCCACCTCACAGACCCGGCGAACGAACAACTCGATAATGAAAATATGGCGGACGATAGAACCAGGCAATATCTATAGCCACGCTAGTTCACTATAGGGTTACCAAGTGTTGGTTTGAAATTCTCCCAATCGGCATATTTTAATGTATATAAAATCAGATTTTCGTTCGGTTTCATTTTCACTAATAAAGTATGACATGTCACATGAATAGATAACATTCCAGATTTCTAATGACAAGTTGCAAAAAAAGAAATGAATGAATGCAAGTGTTAAGGTTGAAATTACATTGCGCGATAGGTGAATGTATCAATAAGTTGAAAAAATTCGACGATGAGGTATAGGACTCGGTAGAGCAACAGCACGGAACGCTGACGATGCCGGTTCAAGTCCTGCCCGAGTCGAAAATTTTTTCAATTTATTTTCGATTTTTTTTAATTATATAGTGCCTCCATGTGCAATAAACATGTAAAAATTAATAAAGTTTTCAAAGTTTGAATGATATAAACAAACGAATATATATATCGATAGAAACATTACACCTCTTTATTATTTGGTTATTACTTTATAGGTTTCTTTAGATCATTCAATCAACAACATTCAAAAATTCTGTTAAAATAGGGATAATTGCAATCTAATCTACAGTAAACACCGTTACCGGAAAAGGAAATGTTATGATTTTTGTATCGGCCTTTTATTATCTGTTACTTATTTTTCTATCTTCTAACCATTGTTAAAACTTATGCCGTATTTTTTTTTTGTTTTACTGCTTAGATTATAATATAAATTGAAATACACATGCCACGCTAGTTGTGACCGTCTTTGTAGAATAATGAGCTATAGACTTACGTATTATGACTTTGACAATTAACATAGGTAATGAAAGTGTTACTTTGTGTTTTGAAATTTGAATCAAATGTGATCGTGGAAGTGACTAAAATTTTGCAGTGATTAGTAAATATTGTATCGTGATTACATTAAGAAAGAGATAGTGAAGAACGCAAAAGTAACGCTTTAAGAAGTATATATTATTCTAAGGCAAGAGATGAGAAAATGATAAATATTGATTTTTAATGTTACTTTGTAAAATTAATTAAAATTGATATTGTTACGGAAATTTATAAATTGGGCCGGTAAGAAATACGATTTACAATAAGTATTATAGTACGGTATGGAGGAGCCTGTAAATTGGCTAAAAGGGTTTTTGTATTGCAGTTGCCATGGACAGTACAGCTCCACATATGTTAATGGATCCCGTAACAGACCACTTATATCCGGCATTGTTTCAATGTTTTACGATAATTGTTTGTGGGTACGGATTTTAATTCTATTTATCAAAACAAATACATCTGGAGCAAATGGGTTATTTGATTTATCATCAATACATTTTTTTTCGTGTATTTAGTTACCAAAGTTTTATTTATTTTAGGTATATTGCTGGCAGGTTGAACATTGTGTCGAAAACTGAGTCAAAAGGCATTGGTACATTTGTGGGTACATTTGCATTGCCTTCCTTGATATTTTTGTCCCTTGCTCGATTAGATTTTACAACAGTAAACTGGATGTTTCTCATCGCAATACTGCTGGCTAAGGGACTTGTGTTCTTTGGTGTTTTAATTGTCTGCATTTTAGTATCCAAGCCTATTAATCTAGCACGAGCTGGTATATTTGCAATTTTTTGCACACAAAGTAATGATTTTGCTTTGGGATACCCAATTAGTAAGTAGTAACTTTTGTTTTTGTGCAACTCAATTCCTTGCCTCAACAGTCATGTAACAGTGAGTTTTGACAGAAGCATGTAATAACTCTAAGCTTTACTTTTCCAGTCAATGCAATATATGAGAAAACACACCCGGAATATGCACTTTATTTATACTTAATGGCCCCAATATCGCTAGCTATATTAAACCCTATTGCTTTTGTGCTAATGGAAATAAATAAGCAAAGAGAAATTGAACAAGCTGAACCTAATCCAAGCCAGAGGAAGAAAATAAGTACACTGAAGATGTTCTATCAAATATTTAGAGGTGTCCTTCTAAACCCAGTTCTAGTGATGACCATTTTGGGTATTATTGGAAATATAGTATTTAAACACAAACTCTCTATTTATATTGAAGGCCTTTTAGATGTAAGTATATATTTAAGATAATTTATGAAAAGTTCTGTTTTAGCTTGGATTGCCCTGTATTTTTTTGATGCCGAGTGTATTTGACTGAAGCTTTGTATAACATTATCATTTCATTGAACTGACCTATTTCATTACTTTATACTGTACTTATGACATAAGAACATAGGATATATATTAATCTCACATTATTTTGGTTATGTATATTTTCAAGGTTTTTGGACAATCTTTCTCGGCCTCAGCTTTGTTTCTTTTGGGATTACGGATGGTTGGTCAGATCACAAGATTGAAAGGACCTGCTCTTATTCTACCTTGTGTCTTAATAATGGTGAAACTGTAAGTTTTTTTTTATTTCTTTAATATGACATAGCTAAAATGTATATCTAAGGTATGCAATTACATCAGGACCTTATTTCAGAACTGAAGGTTGCTTTTCTTGACTCTCTCTTTCAGAATTGTACTCCCGGTGGTGATGAGGGAGTGTGTCAGTGGATTAGATGCCGGTGTGAACGATTCAGATACACAATCACTTTCAACATATGCTTTCTTATATGGTACCATTCCAACTGCACCTGCTGTATTTGTTTTCTCAAACTTGTATCAGCTAGAGATTGATTTAGTAAGTATATGTTATAGCATTTGTTTTTCTCTTAGTGTAGTCCTTTGATACTGTAGTTTGAATGTTTTATCTTAATTTAGGCTAATGTCCTATGCATATATTTTATTCTCATGTTATGATTGTCATATCAAATGAGATTAAATTTTAGAAAACAAAACCAGTTCTTATAAATACTTTTTACAAAGCTTGGGCCAGATCTTTATACTCATAGATAATGCAAAAAATAAACAATTTAAATTTTATATGGAATGTATTTAATACAAGTTATAAACAATTACCTGTGTATGTATATATAAAAAGGTTATGAGAATGTGTTGTTACTTAGAGGATTCAATTAAATATGAATTGGAAGTAATTTTAAAAAGCAAGTGGTACACATTTAAATAAAACACTTTAACGGTTTAAAACACGATATATATTAGTTAAACTTGTTTGAAAATTATTTTAACTACGGCCCGGCGTTTCGGATGCTTTGCAACAGTTGTCCCCGTGTATATATCTCATTTAAACCGTTAAATTGCTTTATTTAAAATCAAGGTATATTTGATATTTTAAAAACATAATACAATAATTATCATATGAATGTGATATTTTATACAATAAAAAATTGAAAATGTGCATTGAAACAAAAATTTTATGCCACATGTGAAGGTAAAGATGCAATAACAGTGGCTTACACAAACTACAACCTTATCTTAAGATCTATAATTCATTGCATTTGAGATGTCTTTTGACTTATCCAACTGATTTTATTATGAAAATTAAATATATAACAATAACAAAAGTATGGTGTAATATATAATTATGAATTATACCCTTCTTACTTCCAGGTCGCATCCTCAATGGTAATTTGTACATTTTTATCTGCCCCTATGACCTTCCTATCAGCGGAAGTGATTACAATGAACAATGATTATGCAGATAAAATAAAAGCGTTCGGCTTCGATCTATCGATAGTCGCTCTGATAGCGGCTGTTTGGGTGCTTATCGTGTTCTCTGTCACTAAAAAATACAAGAGGATGCCGCATAGGTTGACTCTGTGCTTGAATTTAACACAGGTGAATATGGACGTCTATAACCTATGCATCGCTTAGCTTGGTCCAGTAAAATAGAAAAATTATTCTATGAAAACACAATGTTTTTTTTTGTCACATTCGCTTTCAATAAATGAAAGTACGATCTTAAAAAACGATATGTTCCAAATCTAGACTTATGTTATTAAGCTAAACGGTTTTATTTGATGAAACGCGCTACTCTTAGGAACTACTGGATTGAATTTATACATATTGTGTTTTAGAGAATTTATCGAGATAGGCATTGCGACCTTCCAATTGAGCGAAGACACAGTGGGAAATGTGAAAAAAAGGGGAAATTTTTCATTCTTCTGAGTTTCCATTGCGTGCGCTGCGAAAACGGTTCAATATACTAAAAATCATATGCATTAAAGACTGATTTCTCTTAAAAAAAAAAGTGCATTTAAGATTAACTTTTAAGAACGACGGGACGCGGGCGGAGTCGCGGCCACAGCTAGTATTTAATAATTCTAAGACTATCCTTAATAAGTTAGAAACAAATAATGAGATTTAAATTTTTGCTATTTCACAGATACTCCTAGCGATAAGTGTAATATGGGGCGGGGCACAGAAGACCTTCACACCGAACTGGAGTACTATAGCACAACAGTCGTTGCAAATGTTCAGTATCTACGCCTGCCTTCTATGGACTTCTATGTTATCTGTTGGGCTGTTTATGCTAGAGGTAATATAAAAAAATACATTAATATAACATCACGTGTTTCATGTTTTAACGATGTACACTAATATATGACCTCAAATCCTTTATGTACCAAGTTGCTTTTGACTGAAACATTTTTAATTTTATTTTCAATCGACGAATGCATTGTTTAGCTTAAAATAATTTGCTACGTAACTTGTTTAAAATGTATATATTTCAAATTTTTATAATATGTGCACAGATTATAAAACCGGAATTAGCACGTGACTGCATTAGATTGTTAAACTTTTATTTCAGTCACATCTCTATTTTAGTTTTTATTGGTATGTTTTGAGGCTGTTTTTTGTCCGAAAGACCTCTCTGTAAAGTTGTTTCGGGTAATATTCTATACATATAATAATTAAGACTTATATAATAAATAGTATATCATATCTGACACCTATACTGTCCATTTTTTTTTCATATATATCTAGAGCCGTGGTCCATGTTTTGTGGTGACCTTGTGGCCAGTGCTGGCGTTTGTGGCGTGGGGAGCTCCCGCAGTCATGGTTGCAGCCCTTCTGATCACCAAGCAGACTGGAACAACAATAAGCGCTGACGCCTGCGACGCGATAAGGCTCAGCCTTCTGTTCTTCTGTCTAACAGGTAACGTGACGCAGTAGAAACAAAACATGAATGCGTATGTCAAGCCATAAGCCACCATAGAAGTCTTGATATAATAATAATTTTTGGCCAGGACATTAAAGTTTTTTCCCGCCTAGATTCAGATTGTTAGAACAAGAAGTATATTTACTTAGAAGTATATTTAATATATTTTGCAAAAAATAAAAAAAACATTATTCATTATATAGAAATAGTATATACATACTTGTTGAATGCGGTTTAAATAAAATTAGTTCTTAATGAATTTTAGATTGAAAAAATTGTACGGCATGACTTGAACCAGCATCAACATCGTTCAATGCTGTTACTCTAACCAATTGACTTCTGTTCAAATTGTTTTTACATATTGATACATGCACCTTTCGCGCAATGTAATTTCAATCTTATAACTTCCAGATTGAGGATTGTCATTCCTGGTAAACATTAAGAATTCTTATTTTTGGATTCAAGAAAGTTTATGATGGAGGAGATGAAATAGTAACAAATCTATCTCCATTTTATCCTTACATTTCTCAGTGTCTACGGGCTGCCTTATCTTGTACGTGAGGTTCAGACGCCGCAGCGCACAGTTTACGAGTATCTCGGAGTCATCAGAGAGTTCTCCGCCGGACGAGTCCACAAGCCTCGTGGACAATGCCGAACCCGTTTCTCATACGCAATCCATATCTAACCAAAGTTCGTAAAGACATGATTCTTATTATATCTATACTAATATAATAAAGCTGAAGAGTTTGTTTGAACGTGCTAGTCTAGAAACTAGCAGTTCGAATAAATAACAACATTTTATGTCTTATGATTTGTGACTTGACAGAAGCAAAACTCGGCATTAGATTTTCGAATTGTTATAGCATTAAGATAGACATACCCCCCTCATACATCTTGTTCGTTTGTGACGAGAAAATATGTTATGGCTATCAATCAAGATCAATTCTTAGCGTATTCCTAATCGCGGCGGTCGAACACTTCAAAAATCAAACTTTGCACTTAATCCTAGTTATAAGTCGTTTTATTAAAATGCACCTGTATTATATAAAAGGTTGTGGTCACTTCTAGCTCTGGGTTAACAATGGCACATCTCAAATTAATTTAAAAAATACTTTATTGCAATAATATTAACCGCTAATTTTCTCTTTTCATATCAATATTCAGGCATGGAAGAACCAGGTAATTATGTTATTTATTCGGGTAACACTTCAACGCTGTAACTAAATGATTAAACGTGTTGCATTGCGGTCAACGCAAGAGGTACTGGGTTCGAATTTAGGGGGAACAATAGATTGTTTCGGTCAAGGCGCAAATGTCTGATAAACTACTTGCCTGTAAATAAAATGGACACAGTAATGTGTTCGCCCCCATAAGGGTTTACCCTCCAACTTTAGTTGGAGTTCAGTTTTTTTATTTTGGTTTTTTAAATAAAACACTTTACCGGTTTAAAACGCGATACATTTTAGTAAAACTTGTTTGAAAATTATTTTTAACCGCAGCAGCCGTGGTCACGGGGACAGCTCAGCAGAGACTTCAAACAAGTTTAACTAAAATATATCGCGTATTAAACCGTTAAAGTGTTTTATTTAAATGTGTACTACTCGCGTAAACTACAGACAGTATTTTATTTTGGTTTTACTAACTACATTGGTATTTTGTACCGAGCGTTTGGCTTATATTTTTCCGGTCATTTATAACACAAATTGCTTATAATTCAATAGATTTATAATATCTACATTTTTCTAGCTTGTTATTAAGTGCTTAAATATCTTCGCGCTTTTGTACTAAACTCATACATTTCTAATGATGGTGGATTATTTAAATTAACTTTGTTTTAGTTTCTATTTGTTATTTGCTATTTGCAGGTTGCTACGGGACTATAACGGCGACACCATCTCCTAATAAAAATACCTGTTGTAACAATGATCCGAATTGTGGAAATGGGCGTTTGGGCAATGGACAAGATATTGAAGACATCGCTGCCAGTGGAAAGTGAGTAACCTAATAGATATAATAAGAATAACGTACTCAATAATTTTTAGTACGGTAATTTAATTATTAAACTAAATTAATAATATTACGACTGGGATTACCTTATACAGTGCTATAGTCGATTTTTTTAATGATAAAGGAGGACAAACAAGCACGAGGTTCACATGATGGAAGGTATACTCCAGCCACATAAATCTACACCAGATGCACTGTCGACCTATTGTGGTTTTAGATATTAGGTAATCCACAGACACACCAAAGCGCGAATAACCTTCACGACTTTTTCATCGGTGGTCGGTGGTTTGTGAACCCAGCCGGCACTTCGATATTCCTACCGCCCATTTAATTTTTATACGTCTAAGACAAACTATAAGGCCAGGATATTAAGGCTTATTGATAATTAATAGTATCAATCATTTTTTAAATTAAAGTAATAATTAAATACTGTCTATAGTTTACGCGAGTAGTACACATTTAAATAAAACACTTTAACGGTTTAAAACGCGATATATTAGTTAAACTTATTTGGAAATGATTTTTAACCTCGGCCTGAAGTTTCGGATGCTTTGCAGCAGCCGTGGTCACGGGGAGACTGAAAAGCGAAATGTATTACAAAAATTGTTTACTTATAGTTTAAACTACAGCCCGACGTCTTAAATGCTTTGCAGTAGCCGTGATCACGGGGAGACTGGATGTTTTATTTAAATGTATAGTACTCGCGTAATCTACGGACTTTTAATTTTGTCATTAAGTGAACCATATGCTTGTCTGCCCTCTCTGTCTTTACTCTGAAATATGTTTTGTTCATAGTAGGGAGTGTGCGTGTCCAGCATCTCAGAGAATACGATGCAGCACAGCAGAAACGTGTCAATACTTGAACGAGCTGGAACGAGCAGCGAGTACTCTGGGTTTGGTGCCACCAGAACAGAGCCGCGGCAGAGGCGGCCAGCTGCTACGGCACACAGTTCTCATCATCGCATACAGTTTGACTATGTTTATCGTAAGTAACTTAGAAAAAAAAACTTAATGATACAAATCTATACTGCTGCTGTTAGAAAAAATATTTCCCAGTAAAAAAGCAAGCACGGTTCTTTAGCGTTGAACGAATCCTGCGCAGAACTCAAAAATAAGATATCGAAGGGACGGAAGCGGGCGCGGGGCGAGTGAACGTCATGTGCGCTAGCGTCGATTGGTTCCCCAGTCGTGTTGTCTTTCTCGGACCAATATGACGCTCCGCTGATGAAAACTTAAAATAAGTCATTTTAAGTTTCTAGTAAATAATTAACGTTTTTTTTATCGCAGGGCGTGACATATACGACATGGCGCGTTCTGCGTAAGGACCAGGCGGGCGTGTTCATAGAGATACAATTCTTGGACACGGCTGCAGTCTACGGGCAGGCGTTGCTCATGTTTGCGCTGTTCGGCCTCGACCCGGAAGAGATCTTCATACCAGCTGTTCGATACTTCAAGAAGAAGTGGTAAGTACAGCGTGGTACTGAAAATGTACCTACATAAACCGGTTCCTATCGAGGCGAATGTCAAAGGTCTAGTTTCCTATGTTTATTGGGCAGAAACATTTCTGTGTCCGTTTTAGTGTTCGAAATTTACTGCAAATATATATTTTGTCATATCTTGATCTCATATCTTTTCCCTTCATGAAATACCGATCGCATAACATGTCACATTTTTCAACTGAGTGTCGGAGGCTACTTGCAAGACAAAACAATACAGAAAAGATAACACCTTATTATTCAATAAACTGTGTATGGCTTTCCCGCCCATCGCTCCACATATTATTGTTTTTTGGGCTGGTCGGCTGTATGGCGAAACGTCGAGAACCTCTTCTCGCTTACATCGACCGAACAGCCCGAAAAACAATAATATACCTAATTATCCGTCTTAAGAATTATTTAAAAAACATAATGAGTGTGTTACTTAGTAGGCAGTAATTATTTATAGTTTATTAAGTAACATAAACAAAAAGGGTATACATATAAGTGTTACAAGAATGTAATTAGGTCAAAGACAAACAGTTTTTCGGTAAGATTTAATCTTGCCTTCAAGGTCATACGTTATTGTTTAATTTTTTTGTATGGAAAATATTTATTTTCATTTTATATAATCTACAGGCATGGCGCAGATACGGTTGTCTTGCCGTCTGTGGAGGAACTAAGCTTCGAAACCAAACACGTCTGCGATCAATTCATAACGCACCATCTCGAACGTTGTAAGGAGGCGATCGCAAAAGACACGAGGTAAATAATAACCCGACGTTTACAATTCCTTGCCGTAGCAAGGAATAGTTTAACTATGGCCCGACAAAGGCTAACTGCCTGTGTAAATAATGACCCAACGTTTACCATTCCTTGCAGTAGCAAGGAACAGATTAACTATGGCCCGACAAAGGCAGTTAGCCATAATTTAAAATGTTTTGAATTAAACTCTATCTACTTCGCGTTTTAAGCATAATTTAAATGTGTACTACACGCTTAAACTATGAAAAATAATGCAATAATGAAGGAAATATAAGGCTCCAAAAAAAGGGCGACAAAGACATCTCTCAACTTCTTTAGTACATTTTTTAGGTTAAATGTTTACCTTTTGTTATTATAGATGGCGCATGCGTACGTACCACGGCGTTTTCCGCGGGTCGTGCTTAGTGCGATGGCTGGTGTCGACCGGGTTAGCATCAGATGAACAACACGCAGTGACATATGGGCGACACCTTCTAGATGGAAGACTTATATCTCACATCAATCGTGCGCATCACTTTACAAATTCACCGCTGTTGTACACATTTGCATAGATCATGATTCCTCCGTCTGTCAAAACTATTTTTAAATGGGCTACGGTTTAGGAAAAAGACAAAATAACCATATACTGAATTAAAAGTTGATATTTATCGTTCAACTAATTCAATAAGTAGCATTTGTTTTATTTTGCGAATATATATTTTCAGACTTGTTTATAAAATACTTACTTACTGCTTTCAATATTCGTACTTACTTTATGATACACTTTAATGGACAAGTAGAATTAGTATTTGGGTAATAGTAGCGCATTTCAAACGGGTAGTAACTATTTGTAGGGTTTTGTTATTTGTTTACTATCAAAATATTGCTCATTTAGTATTTTTACAATACTTTAGTAAGAAACAGTGAACTAGTTTCATGTTAGTACATTATACTTAATGGTTGCTTATCTAATATTTATAAACGATTTTAGTAGTCGCTTTTGATACATATTACAGGATATCTAACTTCCATAAATTATGAATAATTTCCTAGTTTATTGACGACTCCAGTGATTTAGATCTCGAACTTTATATAAAATTAAGTAACCCTTACACCCAATTTTATTAATATTGAATATCATTCTTGGTGAAATTGGGTCTTGGTATCCTATATTTTGTTTAAATAGTGATTATTAATAACGGGTCATTGAGCATTCTAACTAGGTGCTTAAGTTTTTAGTTTTGCTCTCTATTACGTAGATATCATATCATCCATTTTAGTCTTAAGTATTTATCATGTTTGATCTACACTACTGAGTATTTTTAGACACAGTTTTTAATATGTATGCCTATTTATATTAAGAAAGACTTAGTCTGTTAAAATCGCAGTAGATTTAAGTACCTACTACTTTTTTATTCACTTGACTTGATTGAGCGTTCAACCAAACCAATAGAACAATGTCACAAAATTGGTTGTTGTTTGTAGTGTATTAAGATATGCATTGGAATAAGCTTTTTAATTTGTATAACAGTGAATTACTTTTAACTTACATATTATATTTTACTTATGTCACGTTTTTTTGTACACCGCAGTTGCATATTTTTTCGTTTTTTATAATTATTTATGGGCACTATGTTTCGTAGTTTGAAGTTGTTACTTGTTGACTAACTAGGAAGGTCTTAAGTTTGATTGCTGGGGAAATTATGAATTATCTCATCAATCAGTTAAACAAGATAGGGAATGTGTACACCCTGTGCCCCACAGGACAAACAGGATTCTACCTTTTTTTATAAAAAATATGTTACCAGTAACTAAATTATATTTTATTCTATAATGATTTTTATGTAAGATTAAACCCATTATTATTATTAGTAGCAAATTGAACTGTTTAAGGACTGAAATATTAAGTTTTGACTATTTGTGGGATGCAACACTGAATGTGATAAAATGGCTGTTATATTTTGCTTATTAATGTATCTTGGTATATCTATTATTGGAGCATTGTATCAAATTGTTTCGGATATATGTAAGAAAAATTGTTGTCTATTTACTAAAATATATATTATGTGTTGTAGCAAGTTAAATGTTGTTTTATTGTACACTTTGATAGCCAATATGAATTGTTAATATTAATTCGATTTATTACCATTACCATAAAAAATTAATTAGAGCAAATAAAATATATAATTGTTTATAAATTTATTCAACATTTTCTTCACCATCATCATCATCATCATCATCTTGGCCTTCGTCTTGGTCAGGTGCTTCCCACCAGGTTAACAAACCTAACCCTGGCTCATTTATACTACCAATTAATCTGTATGGTGCAGTATTCTGTGTTGTACATTCCGAGCCCGGTGGTCCTGTTGGTAATATTTCTTCAAAAGCTTCACTTGTTACTCTAAATCTAATTGATTCACCTAGAAACATTGTCTTCATTAACTACCCTACTTTTAGTATCCCTTAGTTTTAGTAAGTAACAAAAGAGTAATTTAAAATTAGTCATAATTAATCATTTTTGAATATGTATTTAGTACCTGAATCCATAAATAAATCATGTTTCTCTCCGTCCTCTTTAGGGTATTCCCATACCCAAGCTTGGTCTGCTTCATCAAATCTCGAGGGATGCTGAAGTGCATTTACAGGTATTAAAATATCATCGAAAAATCCCATTGTCACTGAAAAACAAAAAGATGATACGTAAATAAGTTATACTTTTAAAATGAAACCTAAAAGTAGACAATATTAAATGTTCAGTTTGCGTGCTGCACTACTAATAAAATTATAACTTACACACCATGCACACCATCCCTGCTGCAACTTCTAATTTTGCCTATAAGGATTTCCTCAACTATAGGCCTGAAAACTATGTACCTGAACTTAACTTCAGTATGTGAAGATCCATCTCCGGGAAATATAAATGAGTGGCCAATGTGTGTTATATCAAATAATGCTATGCATAATCCTATATTCAAAACTACCTGAAAATATACATCATCTTATTTTATTGTAATACAACTGAAAGATCAATAACAAAGTATAATAATCTTTTAGTAAGGAATATAATAAACTTTATTCATTTAACCTTATTAGCTAGCTTTCTATTCAACAATGTGGAAATAGATTCTGAGAGGCTTTGGTGGAAATGGTCCGGAGTAACACGAATTACATCTTTCATTTCTGATAGAACAAACATTTTGATATTAGGACTTTAACTCATACATAATAATACTTTTCAAAAATAATTATTCAGTAAGAAATTAAGAAGCATTGGTTGTTATCGGTGAGAACTCAAAATAATAAACAAAATAAAACAAAATGTTTGATCGTCTGTGGAGACTGTGTAAGAACACACAGATAACTTTACTTTCTTGTTTAGATTTTTTTTCTACAATATGATTTGATATTAATATATATCTGTGGATTTCCGATTTAAATCTTTAAAAAGTGAAATATTTAAAAATAATACTTCATTTCTTATTTTTATTAAATATTTTTACCGTGAGCTACTTGCTGAAAAATTAAGTTAATATAGTTTTTAAAATTTAGTTACGTTTACGTTTATAATATTCCAGAATGTTGTGTGTGTGGGACTTGAATTTTTTGTATTGTTAAATGTATATTGTATACACAAGGAGTGATGAACAAAGTAAATAGTTATCTAATGATTTCTCAGACGTCCTAAAATCAAGTCGTAGAATATCGTTTAAGTTAAATTTGTTCTGTGATTCAACGTAGTTAAGAAATGTGTCGTCCTTCTAGATCTCATTTTGTATACATGAATTACATATAATATCTTAGCTTCAATAAAACTGATTTGGGGTAGTTTAGTAAAATGTCAGGTAAGTTTATATAAAGATGAAACATTAAAAGTATGCGTGGTCTGCATCTAAGATAAAACTTTCACAATACAATTACAGGCAGGAGAGATAGATCTAGATCCCCAAATAGATTAAGTCAACACAGGAACAAAGATGGAAGTCACGATGGCCACAAAACTATGGATGTATCAAATGTGATCAACCCTTTAATGTTGCCAAATATGTTCGGCCAAGGTAATTATAGTAAATCTACATATATTATAACACTTATATGGATAGTAATAATTTGAAGTGTGGGATAATTTTTCTGTGATATTTAAGGGAATATGATGATGGGTGGAATGTACAATATGATGATGCAGAATGGTATGATGGCAGGAGGTATTTTACCAGCTTCTGGCATAGAAATGATGCCAAATGCTGCTATGGAGTTACTACCCCAACAAGCACTTGACATGCAGGCTATAGCACCACCAGCTTTGCCCAATAATACTCAAAACTTGGATATGACCTTAATGGGTAACGTTATGGTGGACCCTTCTATGTTAGCAATGTATCAGAATGTAAATCCAGAAGCAATGCAAGAGAAAAAGGAACTTGTGTTTAAGCATTGTAGACTTATTCCACCCGCCCCAGGAACTCCACAACCACCTAAGAGAGCTCGACCACCTGGGTGCCGAACAATCTTTGTTGGAGGCTTGCCAGATAAAATCAGAGAAAGTATTGTTAGGGATATTTTTGAGGGTTATGGAAGAATTCAGATATTACGATTATCAAAAAAGAATTTCTGCCATATTCGCTTTGACAGAGAGAGCTGTGTAGATGCAGCTATGGTTATATCTGGATATCGCATTAAGTTGATTAATAAAGACAAAGATGATAAGGATGACGATGATGAGTCTCATGCGAACAATGGGTGGCTGCATGTTGATTATGCATTGGTAAGGCAAATCTTTACATGATGAAATAACTGTGAGTTAAAAAGTAAAAATCTAGTAAAAAGTAGCTTATCATTTTTTTGTTAATTCTACTCAGTAAAGTTATTGATACCACTATTCAATGAATGAACACTAGTTCAAAATACAATTATTATATAATAATTTAACCTTTATATTTCATGCTGTATTGTAAATGTATATTTATAACCTTGACCTAAAAGTATATAATATAGATTATACCAAACTTGTTAAGCATTTTCCTATTAAAAAAAAAAAAATTTTTTTACAGAGTAGAGATGACCAAAATGAGTATGAGAGAAGGCAAAGACAAGCATTGAGAATACAACAGCAGCAAATACAGCAACTGACAGTCCAGCAAGAGGCTTTGGCTAACACACATAACGTTACCTACCCTCGTTCACCATCTCCAGTCAGAATACAGCCATTTTCCAATGCTGCCATAACACAGCTGGCTGAAAAAATTAAAAGTGAAAGTGCATTTGCGCTCACACTACCCGTACGTTTATTTTTAATCTGTACACATAGTATTATTTTGATTATCACTTACTAAAATATCAATGGCAATGCTAAACATGTTTACATATTTAATTTCTAAACACAAAAAGTTTCTACTAGTACTAAGTAACGCCAGCAAAAACGGGGTCTCGGAGTTATTCATATTCTTATCAATTGTATACATTTCGTAATATTTATTGTTCAAACTAAATAACAACTTCTAGACACTGATCTCATGGTTGGAACGGGGAGAATGTTCAAAGAAGAATTCCAATCAGTTCTATTCAATGTTGCAAGCCACGAACTCACACATTCGAAGACTCTTCAGTGAAAAAATGCAGGCTGAAGAAGAACTAGTGGAATGTAAAGAAAGAGTGAAAAATGTCATTCAGAAAGTCATTGAACAACGTGAGTATTTAATTGTTACCAAATATGATTCAACACTCTATATATCTTCGTCTCCTAATTTGTTGATTGCTCGACTTATCCGTTATTAACAAGGTAAGAAGGTTGTGAACATTTAATGTTTTATTATCCGTATGTGAATTTCAAATATTTGTTCAAACATTAACTGTTCACTTACTCTCAGTAAAGTTGGAATGTGATATAGTATACAAATCATATACGTCATATTCAATTAAGTCTGTATCTACAATATATGTTGATAGACATCTGAGCTATGGTTAGTATCTATCCCATCTCAAGAACTGTAAGAATGGTTAGATTATATTTCAAAACTCTTTGAGTGAACTACAGTTATCAAGTCAGCAAAAATATAGAAGTAAAATGTAAGTCGTAAATGCTTTGACATACCTGGATATATGTTGTGTTTCCAAATATGTTGCTGATTGTATTGAACAGGTGCGTTGTAGCAACTTTTGGATATTGGACATATATTAGGTGCATATTAGCTTTTAGTATTTTATTTCAAAGTTAAGTATCAAATGTCAAGGTATGTCAGAAATTTTAAGGGTTTGCTATTGTTACACTGGGTCTTTTGCAGTCATTTGCAAGAAGTACATGTACAGTAGTTAAAGCCACTTCACTGTTATATAAACATGGTTTAAAGTGAATACTTACCGCCGTACTTTGCTCGAGTAGTACACATTTAAACAAAACACTTTAACGGCTTAAACACGATATATATTAGTAAACTTATTTGAAAATTATTTTTGTATTTTTTTTATTAATGAAACTTCGGGCCGAAGTTTAAAATATTTCAAATAAGTTAAACCAATATATATCGCGTTTTAAACCGTTAAAGTGTTTAATTTAAATGGTTTAGTGTCTTTTACTTCTTGCAAGTGAGTGTTGATGTCTCACACTCGACTTTTTAGTCCTATACCGTGGGTCTGCTCAAGTCTACTCGACACAATCAGTGAGGCTACAAGTCAACTTTGAAAGCGAGTAGGTAGATACAGAAACACGGGTAACTGCCGACGTTGCATCTGCAAATGGCTGGGGCGGTCGCGTATCGCTACGGTATGTCAATGGTCGTTTTCCTAACATATTTGTGCACAGTCGAACAGGTGGGGAAAGTGTTTAATGCGGCGACACATCAGCGCGTGTGGGACCATTTCACAAAACCGCAAAGGAAAAACATCGAGACCTGGCAGAAAATGTCCCAGGTGCGTTAGTCTAATAGTTATAACTTTCGTCACATTTCGGCCACATATGTGTGGCTTATTTTGAAAGCGTTTTTTCAATTCATCTGAATACATTAAGGAAAGTAATACTTGCTCTATCCCTTTCTCAAGTCTAATGGGTATCCAAAGGTAAGTTAAATAATCTCAAAAGCACTACAACATAGATGCGCCCGAGTGGAAAAGGTTCTTTAAGTGTTTTTTTTTTGTTTTCAGTTTTATTCTTGTGTTATTAAAAAGCAATATTTGATCGTGTTCAAGTGCTGTAAGTACACAATCGTTTTGCCTTGCAGGAGTTTACTGCGTTGAAGGAAGAATTTAATGAGAAATTTTTCGGTGACGACAATCAAGAATTTAATGGTGCTTCAAATAGGGAGCACCTTGCTGATAATATACAGCAGCTTAAGGTAAGAGACATGTTAATGTCCACTATTAGGACGCTATCAGGGCTAGATGCAAAGACCTGGGAACTTTGGAAGAGGAGTTGCTCTCCAGCTAGAAAAAAAAATAATTATGTTTGTACTAAGTATTACAAAAATTGTTAAATCGAATATTCAAAATGAAGTAGTTTACTGGTGTTTACTAGTATATTAAAAAAAAAAACATTTTCAGATCTTCTTCGTGAAAGCCCGAGGCGTAGCGCTGATTTACCTTCCCTAAAACCAGTTCTGGTTGTATATAGACTTTGTGCATAACACAACACTTACGTAATAATAAAACAACTAAGATTAAAAATGTTTAAGGCTAATCACATTGTTTTCAGAAAGAGAACGAAAGTTTACTGTTTCAATTAGAAGCATATAAGAATGAAGTAGATGTCATAAAAGCGGACGCACAAAAGGAAATGGAGAAGTTCAAGGCCCAGTTTATCGCTAGGCAAGCTTTGAAGGGGACCTTTGATAAAAATGTAATGTAAAATTGTAAATCATATATTCTATTAGTCAAAATCAATAGATCTACTTCTTACCCGCGTTCGTTTGTAATTCAAGCATTATATATATTTATAATAGAGGAGGGCAGACTAGTATGGTGTTTACTTGATCTTAGATGACATACCCCAGCCATATAACATCTAAACAAGATGTGCTGTCGAACTATTTTTTTTGGCTTAGGATTTTCAGAAATCCACAGACTGAAACAGAAACGTGAATAATCTTGGCTTTAGTCGGTGGTGACTGAAACAGAAATTTGATATTTCGACCACCATTTATATCCAAAAAAATATTAAGCAAACAAAAAATATATATTTTGTTACGCATTTAAAGTGCAAGTTCTTTGTAATATTTCAATCTTGGGATTATAAGTTGTATTAAATATCAAAGTTCTCAAACGTTAAACTCTGTAATTTTATCTTCAATGATTTCTTAAACTGCAAAGTATAAAATGTTGAACTTAAATTGCGCAAAGGATGCATGTATCAATAAGTTGAACGCCGTTTTATGAATGTAACTTAAATTAGATTTTAAATTTAAGTTACATTTATTTAAATTTTCAGCCTCCTCTGCCGTCGCCTGTCACAAAACCTCCACCCCCTCCTCCGCTGCCTGAAGAGGCAGAGTCGAAGCCCCCTGTTGAAATTAAACCTGAATTTGGAGAAGCTAAACTCATTGGAGTTATGTCGGCTTTCTTACAAGTAAGATTATTTGATTTATAAATACTAAAAGTAATCTAAGTAAATATTTCAGACCAACTTATACAAAACAATCAAGCCGAAACAGGGCGTATAATTAGAAGAAAATTGGAAATAAACAAAACTCTAGAGTCCTTCATCTCATTGATTTCGTAAAACGCTAGATATTATAAAGTATATTATTAAATACTTATTAATTTATTATAAACATATCGGCTATCCACAACCAAAGGCAAAATATACATGTATATGTTTAAGTAAAACACTTTAAACGGTTTGAAACGCGAAATATATTAGTTTATTTATATAAAATTTCTAAATTATTAGTTTTATATCGTTCAAAGTGTTTTATTGTAATATTTACTACTCGCATAAACAACAGACGATACTTAGCGCATACTTTTGTGAATTCAGTTAGCAATAAACACCTCAGATCTAATTTAGCGATGATATTTACAGTTTTCTCTATTACAAGCTAAATATCCATTTATATCTTGGTAAAAATACCTCCTATTTTCAGGTACACCCACAGGGCGCAAGTCTCGACTACGTTGTATCATACGTACGGGCATTATTCCCCCATATCACACAAGCACTTGTTCACAACGTGCTACAGAAGTTCCCCGAAGTCTTCCAGAAGAGTACCAGCGGTGTCGGCGCCAATATCGAAAACAGATGGAAATTTGTCGCATTCGAGAACGCATAACAAGTCTGAGTCCTTCCTAAAGTTTAAGAAATATATGTACCTCACTCGCGTATTCCAATTATAGCCCATTCATCGAATTAATAGAGCATTGTGACCGTTTCACAATACTATAGATAAAAACTAAACTGGCGAGAGGAATATAGACTATGCAAGAAAATATTTTCCCACCAAGAAGGTTTTAATCGAAGAAGTTGGTATTGTTTTATCACTTTTTTGTGACAGTTGGATTTTTTACAAATATTGCATAACATTTTTTTTTTATATTTCGTTTAATCGCAAACTTACTTCCTTCTTTCGATGATAATGTTTCTGATGGTCGTGACCACAGACTCGAGCTGACTAGTATTGTCAATTGATCTAGATTGTAGACAGTTATTTTTGGTGAACAATTAAATATATATCTTTAAACATCATATACTATATATGACCAGAAAATGTGTATTTTTCAAGTATATAAGTCTTGTTTACTGTCTCCTAAGAACAAAATATTGACTGCCACGTTAGCCCCAGACAACTGTTGTTTGCTACTAGAATGTGATCTTTGTTAGGTTTAATCGTATCATGTAATAGCTTTAAGGTGACGATCAAAGTATTTTGACCTAAAATAAATATTTACGTCTTAATAATGCTTTTATTTAACAATGTTTAAAAAGTATTTTGTTTCTATTAGGTAATAGACTGCGGTTTTATAAGCTTTTTTGTTGCGCCTGCAGTTCACTTACCATTTGCATATATTCAGTCGTAGCTTCTTCCAAATCTCTGAAGATTCAAAGATGAAGTATTTTTAATAACAAGATGAATTGAAATTGGCTCTTAAATCAATAGTTTAAAAACGTCAGTTAAAAAACAACAGAGCCACCAATAACATGTACTTAACAAATCTTAAAATTTGAATGAAGTTACGACCTTCTTTTCTTGCTTACCTATCATTAACAGCTGGATCAGCTTCTGGTGTGAGCTGGTTCCCGTCGCGGTCCTGTCGCATTTTGAGTCTCAATTCGCGCATCCGCGCTTCCAAAATGCGTTCACGCTTGTTCTCCCGCTCTAAAATCTAAAACCGTATTTATTTGTACATGCAAGTCATTTATTATTCGTATCAGAGTATTGAATTTATACGAATATATATAAAAATAAATAAGCATTTACTTTAGAAGAAAACATGACAAAGTTGGAACAGTTACCCAAAAACTACCAAAATATTTTTTAATAAGTGATTTATTTATTTTATGTCATTAAAAATTACTACAAGCATTATTTAACTTACGTGAGTTAGTAGTTGCTTGTCATTCTTGTCTGCTGTGCCAAGATTTTGAGATAGTTCCGCTAAGTATATCGTCCCTTTACTGCTTCCACAAGCCACTAGCAGACCCTATAGCAAAAAAAAAACAAATTATTTTTGATATAGTCTGCAGTGCTTCATGGTACATTAAGTTAAAATGTTTGCCAACATTTTTAAAAAACAGAATTATTTAATCTATGCTATAAATTATAGCCCGGACATGTTTACGAGTTGTAAGCGAAGGTATATAAATAATTGTTTTTAATTAGTTCAAGGTACTATATAAGCTATATATAATAATAAAGGTACTACTATAAGCTGGGGCATTCTTATTCTCAAATTTAACGAAAGAATTTTTAAATAACTTTTCCGTAGGCTTTATCTGTTACCTACCCCTTCATGAGGTCGCACTTTAAGTAAGGGCTCGTCGCATAACTGCGCAGTTACAATTGGTGCACTTCGACGTCTTAAGAGATCCCAGCACGATAAGCAGCCATTCCATTGCGTCACAAGCATTAGCGAAAATCTGGTAGTTAAATTTAAATAAAACACTTTTAACGGCTTAAATCTTGAAATGTTGACATTAATTTTGAATACGCCTCACATTTCGGACACCTTGGAGCAGCCGTGGTCACGGGCTTGTAAATCGCGGGTGTCGGCTAATGTTGTCGGTAGTCAAAGTCAATGAAAATTAATTTTAAGAAAACATTTTACGACACGGGCCGGACTCGAATCGGCATCCACAGCGTTCCGTGCTATTGGTACAGCCAATTGAGCTACGGCGTCCTGGTGGTGTGTTTTGTGGTTCCAGTCATTTACATTCACACTATCAATTAAAAATAAGGTCGTTAGGACAATGGAGTTACTTTTTTACCTTATTGGGTTCCATGCACCATCTGTCAATTTGGTACTATGTGAATATGTCCAAAGGATGGAAGATTCGCGACAGTCCTCGCTCCATACCCGAGCTGTCCAATCACCGACAGTTAGGAAGTTCTTCAAGAACGTTGGGTTCCTCTGTAGTGCGTAAACGGGTCCTAAATGGGCTTCGTACTGGAAATGTTCTTATTCATTACCTAACATCTTATGAAGACATATCATTTAATGAAATAAAAAATAAATTAATACTTTATTCTCTTTAAAATTTCAAAAAATATTTAGATTCCTCAAAAGATTTTTGTCTGTTGTGATTCCACAGTGTGTTCCAAAGAGCAACATGACCGAGAAGAACACCCAATAAACTCAGTTCGGCTTTTTAAAAATGTTTTTTACGTACTTTGGTAGGTAGTTTTTCCAAAGGCGTTTTGCCTTTTCGATTGCCTCCTATTACCAGTCCGGTTTCAGTGCCAACCATGAACCTGAGAAATAATTGCGAGAATAAATTTACTCGGACAGGACTATAACCAATAAAGCTACCGAGGTTAGAGCAACAGCACGGAATGATGACGATTCCGATTCAAATATTGCCCGAGTCGAAATTTTTTTCAATTTATTTTCGATTTCTAATCTATATAGTGCCATCATGTAAAAAATATTAAAGTTTTTAAGAATAAAAACTAGAAAAATTTGCTGCTAACGAAAGATCGATTAGTGTGACTACATTCCAAATGGAGAGTGAAACTGATTTGCCTTTATTTTAATCTTGCTGAACTTATTTTTATAAATGACACGTCGAACAATTTCTATTAAGAATGAAATACTTAACACACAAAATAAATTAAAATAATATTTCCGTGTTTTGCCAAAAACGGCTCATAAGATCTTAAAACACTTTGATTATATCTTTAAACATTATATATTGTGTATACTTCGAAATAAAGCAGTGATTATGTTTAGGATTACCTGGTCGGTATAGTAGATTCATACTCAAGAGCAGATATACCTAGAGCTCTATCGATGCTTTGCGTTTCGGAGGGTAGTTTAACAAGATCGATTATCATTGAATCTGTAGGTTCGTTCATACTGCGAATGTCCCACCTACAAGACGGAAACGTGTAAAATTCTACCACCTCAACTTATTAGCTAAAGCTAAAGAATGAGATACCACTTGACAACGCCATCTGGAGATGATGAAATGAATTCGGATCCAGTTTTTGAATGAACGAAAAGTACGTTGCGGACCAGATCTCTATGAGCGACATGTGGGGGGCATATGCCGACTGGTTCGCCACCTTTTCGCATATCCCAGCAACCTACCTGAAATATTTCTTATATGTTCTGATAGATATAATTATTATATGACCTAGAAAATTTTGTAAGAAGCTCCTTTAAAATATGTAATGTTTATAACTCGAATTATTTTTTAAAATACATTTTCTCCTAAAGTTCCCCCCTAAAGTCTTGTTTCACAAAACTACTTTTTTAACAAACAATGGACCTTTAATGAAATCACCTACATTTTACATACACATTATTAGCTCATTACATTCATGATGAGGTATGTAAATTCATACTAACCTGTCCGTTTAACATTCCGCCAACAAGTATGTGTTGATCTCGCGGATTGTACTGCAGATCTAACAACGGTTGAGGCGGCTTTATTATCAGTTCCGGAGCATTTGCATTTTCTAAAAGAATAAAAACCTTAACTTCTCTTTTTTTGTCTTTGCATGATCGTTCGAAACCATTACCAAGAGAAATAGAACATCATTTAACTTTATGTTCTCAAAAAAACCAACGTTACGTTGTTTATTTCGTAAATTTTCTGCTCCAAAATAAACACCGCCCCTTCAGGTTATTGTTTGGCAATAATCTGGTGCACTCATATTCTACTAGAGTGAGAGTAAAGAAAGAATGGTCAAATCAAACTAGTGTGACAGCATCTTGCTTAAATATAATATGGCTTTTTCACCTTCCTCTTTTCTCCTGTTACAAAAAAAGAATCAAACCCTTTATCTTATTAGTACGTATACCTATATCCCATATGTAGGAAAATTGTAAGCTTCTATTGTTCCTCATAAAGTCGATATCAGCGTGTGCTGAGGCAAGGCGAGCTCCTTCCGCTTGCCAAGAGAGAGATCTTATCGGACGGCGGGTACCGGGTTCTCTGTACACATTGACGGTGTGGCAGCTACTACGTTCGACGGGAGGAATGGAAGGCAACTCTGAGTAATAAGTCTGGTACATATCCACTGCGTTGTTTTGAAGTATATTGTGCTCCATGCTCTGAAAGAGTTCTATGCTTAAAAAACCGTTTTAGGTGTAGTTATGTCACAGCTGTGACAAGATACCTCGGGCAAACAAAGGCGTGGAGGCCCTCGGGCTCCGAATTTTTCTATTCAATTAGATATTAAAGAATAATAAATGTTGGTACAAGTACTGTAAAAATGAAACAGCGAAATAAAACATCAAAGAAAAAGTTGTGTACTGGTATTTACTAGCTGGAATGTGAAAAAAAAACTAAATTTTATTTGTGGAGGCCCCGGAGTAACCATAGATTGGATTCCTCATTGACCTATTTTGAAATACGTTATTTTAGTTAGGTGTAATTCAAAACATCCTACAATTTTCATCTATTAGGATATTAAGTGAAAGTTAAGTTTGTCTGTCAATAAGCACAATTAAATCAAGTTGTTAGAATGATAAAAGAAATGTATATATTACATGGCCCAAATGCATAACAGCATGGATATAGGCATCGTCTTTTTCAATTTTCCTTCTGTACCTCTGACACGCTTCAGGGTCGTTCATATTTATATCTTTGGGCCATCCTCCTTCCACGTGATTTATACCGGAAGTCGTGTATTCTGCTCTAAAAGCATCATTTCAGTGATAAAGATGAGATAAATAAATGGTTCGAAAGGTTATCCCTTATATCTGCGTTACAATATAATGAGTCTCTCGTAAATATTTCTGTATTTAGTTAAATGTAAATCAAATAACTTACGTATCAATACTACTGTTGCGAGACAGATAATTTAGATAAGCAAATATCTTCTTATCAAATAGTACGATAACAATGTTTTAGATATTTCGATAGATATTCGGTGTTTCGTCCTTTTAAGCTGGATCAATTAGATTTTTAATTTAGGAAAAACCCCAAACGCGGTAGTTTATAACTTAAAAATTGTATTAAAAAAACATGGGTCATTACAATGTTTACAATATTCTCCAAAAAAATCGATGATACATTCCCGATAAAATATACTAGTCCCAACATTAAGTTCTTGAGGTCTCCGGAGAGAGTACACAATGTTATTAGACTTTAATACTATAGATAGACTATTTGAAAAAGAAAATATATTTTACATAGATATCTTTTTTTTTAACTTACCTCACAGAATTAACCCAATGTTCCGACATTGTGCCTGTATTTTGTATAGCCACATTAACTGGGTTCCGAAGAATATAATTCTTATACAACGCCGGATTGCACGGTATACTAACAAGCATTTCTGGTCCATGGTCTTCGAAGAGGGTTTGCTTTCCAAAATACTTACGACGTCTTGTATATTCATAAGTAATTTCTGTTTTCTCTTGTTTATCCATTTGGATTTTCTACCTATGTCTGTCGGAGCACGTTGCTTGCGTAAGTTAGATCGATACTAAATCGTTGTTACTATTTCAGAAAACCGACCCTTCATTAATATTGCTTAGCAGTCGGCTTAAAAAATCATCAAGAGACAAAATAGTTTCATAAAAATTCTAATATTATTATTTAGTTATAAGGAATACAAAAGTTACTGCTATAACTATTATATTATGTTGTATTGTGTTTTATTATACAGTGTTTTTAACAGTAGGTAACTATCCAGGAACAGTGGAAGAAAGCTTTAGGAATAAGTCCGCTCCTCCAACGTCTAAGACTAGATAATATTTTTAATGTCACTTTGGATATCATAATTACTCAATTGAGATTATATAAAGCGTTTTGATATTGAAACACAAAATATTATTACAACATCGTAAAGTTATAGGTAATTTATTTGGCCCATACATTATACATGAAAATGTAATTTTATAGCGGACAATGGTAGCATGTATACTGTATTTGTTTGGGAGGATAGAAATTAATTATTAAAATTAAACGCTATAAGGCAAATAAAGATTTAATTTATAAGGAAATGTTCTCTTAAAATTACTAAAGTTGAATGTATTACAGGAAAAGTGTAAGGTTTTATTTACTAAACTTATTAGTACAAAGGAATTGGATCGGCCGGTGTGGCGCGTCTCAGTGCTATTACGATAACGCGAGGTGGTGTCACTACGACCTTAGCTGAACACTGTTCGAGGAGAAATCTCCAACGGATTGCTGCTCGATCATCGCTTGACATCGCCTTTAACTGTTCAGCCTGAGCAAAATAGTAGAACTTTTTGTATTGTGTAATATAACACTGCGATGTATATGGAATAAAGCATTAAATATTAGATTGCTAATATTTTTACTTTCGGTCGTGGGTTCGATCGCACCTGTTTAGATTCTTTCCATCTTGCTTAATTCCTTTAATAATGTTATTCGTTGAAGTTCCTGAGTCATGATAAAATATTATCTCTATAACACCTACAACAGACATTGTTATCAACAGACTATACATTTTCTACTTGCATATACATTCATAACCTTGCCAGCTTGACAGCGTAGAAAGAGTCTAAAAACTATCCAAACTTTTAATAATTGACTCTGTGAGTTGTACTGTAGGAAGTATTACTTACGTTATAGCCAAAAACATCGCCAATAATATTCAATGGTAAACGGGCAGTTAGCTCTCCTGTGTGGTCCGCAAACCTCACACGAATATCTTCCAAATCTATATTTCTGGAAGAAAATATATTTATTTACTTACTTCTTCTATATTATAAGGATTTCTCAAGCAATAAATCATTATTGATATGTCCTCAATATAATATAGTGTAGCATAATTAAGAGTAACTAATATTAATTATTTGTTGCCACTAGTAGAATCATATTTTTTTAAAACCATTATTGCAAAAATAGAAATCGTTATAGGTAAAGCTTATCAAATGAAACCTTAGAGGCAGAGTGGCCTTATTAAAAAAAAAGTTTTTCAATAACGAGGAAAATGAATTTGTACTATTATTTGTGTAAAAATTATGTTAACAAATTTTCGGTCACTATTCTCTTGTAGATAAACATTTTTAGACTGTGAAAATTCAAATAACTCAATCCAAAGAATTGCAGTTAGGGCACTCTGCCTCTAGTAGCCTCATGTATATTGGTAAAAATATATATTACGTCATAGATACAAGATCTTCCAGATCAAGATGTGTCAGTAACGCATGCAGCGCGGCGGAGAAGGGTGCTCCGAAGGCTAGTTTATCTCGTATTTGTGCTACTGACGCAGCACTAGCCCGCTGTCCGCTCCACGCTGCCCATGCTGCTGCTTCCCCGGCTGAAAAATTTGGCAAAGGATTTTGCACGTGAGAAGCACTTGACCTATTACAGTACGTTTCTATTTCAAGATAAGTTATAGAACAAGATAATTATATCACCCAGGGAATCGTTCCCTGTACTTTCAAACTTGTATAAAGCTGAAAAGTTTGTTTGTTTGTGTGTTTGAACGTGCTAATCTCAGGAATAACGGTTTGAATCGAAAAATTATTTTGTGTTGGTTAAAGCAGTTATCGTATCGTATTATATAGGCTCTAAAACATCGCCCTGTAAATAATACAAGCGAAGGTACAGAGAGAAATAAGAAAAAAATTGGGCAAATTATTTATATCATGGATTTCCAAGGCGTACGCTCCAAAAACTCTTCAAGATACCAAAAAAATATGTAGGAAAGAATGATTCCTCTTTAATTAATCTAAAAATAGTCCTCGACGTCTATCTTTTAAGATTAACTTGCAAGAACGACGGGAAGGGACGAATAAAGATTCTCGCGGACGAAGTCGCTGACATAGCTAGTTAATAATACGTCGATTGTATTCAGCGTTATTAGCTTTCTGTGTCCTGATTGTGATAGAAACCTAAATTAAAACAATTACCTATAACTATAATAATTGTAATTTCCAATGTTTGTACACAAAACACTGAACTCTGTTATCAGTATGATAATTATAACTACAAAGTCGTTACATAAATTAGTTTTAGTTAATTTAATTCTAAGTCTCGAACACCAAGGCTCACTATAGATCACAGTCTCATACGCATGGCACCTATTACCTAGGCAGACACGGCCTGCGTTGGCGCGCTCGCCCAAACGTATTCGTTAGTAGTCGTAGCCCTGGGCTCAATACGTTAAATCATAATGAAAAAAAATAAAAATAAAACCCAATAGGCTTATTACTCGTTCATTCAGCATATAATATTTTTTTTATGATAGAGGAGCACAAACAAGCATAGAGGACATACCCCAGCCTATAGCATCTAAACAACATGCGCTATCGATTTATTTTGGTTTTGCATATGCTAAATTTCACACACTGAAACGTGATTACATTTTACGGCTTTTTCATCTGTGGACGGTGGTTCGTGACCTGGTCGGAATTTCGATTTCTACCACCCATTTAATATTCAGAATTTCAGACAAAGTGCAACATGTTTTATTCAAAAGTGTACTACTCGCGTAAGCTATAGACAGTATGTTTCAGAAAAATTATATATCGATTAGAAAAATGTTGGACGCACTAGGCATCGAACCCCCGACCCGTTGATTGATATCATTACACCAACGAGTCAGTTAAATATTCAAAATAAAGTCAATAATGACTCATTATGTTTTATCCTAGAATTGATTGCATGACAGTTTATTAATGAGTTTTGATAAGAAAGGAAATATTTAAAACTAACAGCTGGTCTGATTTTGTATATAGAGCCTCAATGCTTCTGCCTCAGACGTATGAGGTTGATGGGTGATGACAGTTCGGGAGCAGCTCTGCACGCGGACAGCGCGGTTTCGCCAAGATACCCGGGCGTCCGCTATGAATAACACGCTCTCTAACGAACGCCACTGTTCGGCCCTAGGAAGTGAAAATTATAGGTATACTTTTAACCCAAGGAAGGGTGATAAAAATCTAAAAAAAAATCAACAAGCCATTCTATAGCAAACTTCGAAATAATTACGCTATTGCAAAAAAATAAGCTTTCACTAAATACCTTCAAACGTGTAAAATATACATAGTTTGGGTATCCAAAACTTTACAATACTGTAAAAAATTTTAACTACACAAGTATGTATGTACATATATAGTGTCATAAGAAAAACATGTGTAATTCAGTTTTTTTTTTGTAGAAAACGATAGATAAAGATTGTGATTTAACAATCGATCAAAACACGTGATTAAGTTTTATCATAATAATAACTAAAGAAAAAAGTTTTTTATTAAATATGACACGAACCAGATAAAATATAATAAAAATGAGTCAATCCACTTATAGTTGTTGAAAGCACATTTTTCTCATACCTTAATAGCTACGGCGTACGTCGCACTCTAGATATCCACCCTAATACATAGATCATTTAGTGGGTAAGTATTAATTGTTGCATCCTACCTTTGTATTGTTTCAATTTCAAATAAGTCCAAGTAAAGTGATGCCGGTGTTGTGTTATCAATAATTTCAACGCCGCGTACTGTCATATCGGTCCCTAGAATTACCATTAAAGTTATGACTTATGGGAAATAAATCATTCTACTAAAACACGCCTAGATCATTAGGTACCTTTTTTAGTCCTTATAGTTTTTGGCGCTTGTATGGATTTTACAACAACCAATAAATCCACGTAAATGTTGTCAGTTTGTTCTGAAAAACAAAATTGGGAATTTTTTAAATACTCATTTTTACACGATGTACATACATACCTATTTAGTGTATTTGATACAGTTAGGTACTTTCGACCATACAACACATTAACCGAAATTGCTCTCAATCATGTTTTAACATTTATTTTAAACATTATTATAGATAATTAATAGTTTCTTTATTTAATTTTTTTTACGTAAAATATATCGAATACTTAATTGCAATACTTACTTAATGGACACAAGCTACTGGTCTATAAAAAATATGTTATCGAGTTTAGGTGGCACTAAACTAACCTTTTTATCATTTTCCTAAGCATATTTTTATACATATAGATCATTACGTATTTTGGCTCGTACCTGTAAATTTAAGTATTTCTGCCAGGCCACAATAACCGGCACACGGTTTGGAGGGAATGTGCAAGAGGGGTAAATAAAATGAAAACGTATCTCCTTCAAAAATGCTTACTTCTGAATTTCCTTCATTGAGCGACAAATAAAATGGGGACGAAACCTATGGGTGAAAAACAAAAAGTATTAAATACAATAAAATTAAAAATAATTATAAATTAAAACAGTTTAGAATACTAACTTGCGGTCTAAATCCACTTTCGTTACCTTTGATTAAAATTTTCGGGGATGATATTTCCACTTAAAAAGTATTAAATTTTCATTAAGTATTTATTAACAAAATATTTAATCTTTTATATTATATTTCTTCGAAAACATACCAACATCGCCGACCAAAAATCGCTCGTAAAATGTTATTACAAAATATTCCGAACCCCAAACATCTGCATTTATTATATCTACATCAGAATCGCGTAACGTAAAAGACATGACACCTCTAGATTCACCATTTTTCTTTTTGGTTCCAAGCACCCTTGGACTATTTTTGGCAATAATTATTCCAACTATGAGCGCATTACTAATATTAACATTCAAGTTGTTTAAACGAATTTTCTGTACCCCTGCCATTTGTTACCAAAATAGATCTACACTAAATTAGTTATATTACTTTATTTATCATTAATTGTATTAAATTAATTACAACACGACAGGTATTACTGAGATTTTTGATACTTTCACCATTTAGTAGCATTTGCCATCTAATGATTCTTTTTGCCGCCCTTTTTAAAATGAGATGAATTATAAAGAAAAATGTTTTTAGTTGCCAGACTAAAATAATAATTTCATCGTTCCTGTTCTACAGACTATATAATATGTGTAATAAATGAAATGCTAGAAATTGTATAAAACTTTATTTTAGAAAAATTACATCTGTTAACAAAATGTCATACTATAACATTCTAAACTAGACAAATTAATTAACGCCACAGACTTTGAATCGCAAAAATCAGGAATAGTCACAAGTCTAACTCGCTGGCCACTTTCTCCTGAAAAGAAAAAACCATAGTTCTACTATTTTATCATAATATAAAGTATTTGCTATAGAAAATAATTTGTCTCTTGACTCTTACCTTCATAGAGATCAGTTGAAAACTGATAAGCATTTCCACTAAAATAGACAGCTGGACAGTTATACATAGTTAAAGGATCTGTATCCAAACAAGGCACACAAGGCACCGTATCCGGACATGTGGGAGCTATATGCCTCCACTGAAGTGTACTCTTTAATACTTCAATTTCAGTATCAAATTTGCTGTATCTCATGATATCCTTTACAGGTTCACCAGAGGATCCCAAACACGTAAAACCTTAAATTGCAAGAAAAGTCACAAATTTGTACTTATTTAGGGTTTATACATAATATAATTAAAGGCACAGGTTTATACATAATATAATTAAAGATAATACTTGCCACTAATAGAACATTCATATGGATTCGAGACCCTGTTAAAAGTTTTATATTCTACAGCTTTTGGGAATAAACCTAAAACAAAAATTATGTATTGTATTATTTCAATAGACAAGTTTAATAATTAGTAGCAATCATTGAAAAAACTTACAATAATGAAATGGTTTCTGTGGTAACATTATCCCTGTAGGGTCTTTACAACCAGGCATCAAATCCAAAGGGGAAACCGCACTAAGGGCAGCACAAAATGAATCCACATTTTCTGATGCAGCTATCACATCAGTTTCCGTAAGGAGATTTTCATTTGAATATTTAGCAAATATACCACCTATTAAGGAAAAATTTGTGAAAAATACTACTATGACATATTTCGGATATTATCAAATTTATCCCTAATTTATATGAGTAATTTACAATGGAACAAAAAATTCAATAATCTTTTTTTATTTTCTCTAATTGTTTTTACACCCTTTCAGTGCATGGGTAAAAACATCTTTACTAAGATTGACCTTATGAAGTACTTTTATTGTTAAAAAAACCTATTTATTAATTATATTACCTGCAACAATTACTCTGACAACTTTAGAAAATTCTTCTTGATAGTCTGATGTGCCACAGAATCCTGATATCCACTCCAAAAAGAGATTCAAAGAGAACAAATGATCAGCTGATTTGGAAGCAAAGTTTAGTCCAGACAATAAGACAATGTATCTAAAAATATTTAATTATCTCATTATGTATCTACTCGAAACTTACATTGGTACATAAAAATCAGCTATGGAAAACTAATGTATCTGTACCTATCATTGGATAACTGTGGCAAAGGCTTTTGTACATTACAACCTGCCCAACATACATCTTGAACTGAAAATATACCATCTTCATCCTCTGAACCTAAAGGAAAACTGAATATTATTATTGTAAATATTTTATTAGTAATCCATTCAACTTTATTGCTCTTAATATATATATGTATATATATTCCAACTTAATAGCTTTATTTTTATTATGAATTACCAAGAACAGCAACTACAACTCCAGTAACAACTTTGTTAACATCTATACAGTCACCAGAGAGTTTTATTCTTTGCAACTCATCTTCCAAGACCATACAATCATTGTCATGAACAAAATGAGTCCTAAAACATACAAATTATTTAACATTTTTAACTCATTATTGTTTTTTTTTCATCGCAGTTGACTCCTACCTGCTTGGTTGTGGTAAGATCTCTAACTGGTCTGAAAGTTCCTTTAAAATACTTGGTTTCAGCTCTTGAAGCTTAAAAAGTGTTCCAATTATAATGCAAGGATCACCTTTCTCGCGTAAATCACATAGCTTTAAAACTTTATAATTATTCGACCATTTTTTCTTAATTAGAGGGATTAAAATGTTTCTAAATGTATTTAACCTCGCAGAATAAATATGGGCATATTGCTTTGAGAAGTCTCTCGGAACCTCGTAAAATCTTTTTGAACAGTCCTCATAATCTACACTTTGTCTGACTATTTCAACGGGTTTATAATCTTCACCATTGCTTTTTATTTGATCACATTTAAAAATCATAGTGTCCGATGTTTCTTGTATTTCTATTAAATCTCAACACGAATATTAGGAAGTTTTTTATGTAAATGGTACAAAAAACCGCAGGCCGATTCTCGTATAATTATTGCTTGATTTTGTGAACAGTATAACACATGTTTATTATTGGTATTTATTATTAATATTTAGCCCGTTTTTTGCACCTGTTTGTAACAAATTATTGCCAACTTTTCTTTAAAACTTGCGTGCAAATTGCGTTCATTGTAATTTTAAAAACTAATTACTAAACAAGCAACAGCAATAACATAATATAATAATAGTCTACACTCCACAGACTAAAATAAAAATTGCAAAAAAATCATACTTAACCACAATAGGGTTTAAAGAAATTTTTAAATTATGATAATTAAATCTTATTTTAATACATATCATGCCTAAATCATTTAAATCAATGTAAAAGCTCGTTTCCCCCTCGTGACGAACACATTTCTGTGCCGATTTCACTGATCCGTTTTTTGAACAGGCAAGTAGTTGATCCTGGCCGACCTAAACAATTTTATGTTTCCCTAGGATTCAAACCCAGGGCCTCTCGCACTTAATGCAACACTAGGCAATACGTTTAACCATTTGGCTACAGAGGCGGTAATAAAATAAAATCAATAAAGGAACTAAAATTAAAAATCATAATTCTATAATCGATTCCTTCATTTGTTGTGAATGAATCGATGTTGAGCAATCGATTGACAGAAACTTATGACGCTGAATTTGAATTAGAAATGTGCATCGACTGGATTTATACATCACTACTTTACTTTAGTCTATAACCTCCTATTACTCATCATGTGCTACGAATAGAAAGACGTATTGTTTGTTTCTCCTCGTATTATAATTACTCACGATGGGTTTCTAAAGTTTTAAAAACGCTTGCACACACCCGTGTGCCTTCACAAGTTAAAAAAATGTTGTAAGTATATATATATTGTATTTTTTGTTAGTAAATATATTTAAAATTATCCGCATTCCACTGTAGCTTTCACAGTTTCATAGCGTCTATTCAATCATCTAATTACTTCTGACGTAAATGCAGTAGTAATAGTACTTTGATACAAGGAAACGTATTTAAATTCAAATTCAAAACGTTTTATAGTATTTAAAACTCATTTATTAGACATACATGGTTAGAAACTAATATAATAGAGATATGTTTTAAGTTTGTTATCTTGTAAACTATAGGTAGTCCTAGAATCTTATCATACAAAAAAAAAAACTTATACATTTAAAGTTACGGCTTTTACAATAATATACTGAATTTGCTTGGAGCTACCATATGCTGAGGTATTGCAAAATGTTTTGAAATGTTTAGATTGTAGTATTACAACACTGTGTTGACTAAGCTTATTTTGTAACATAGCCCCAAGACATTTATGTACATGTTACGGGATATGAATGAATTTGATATAGGTAATTATTCTATTGTTTGCTATTTCTAGGAAAAGTAATTCAACTAAGTGGTCTATAGATTTTTTTATATAACACAGTAGAATATCCTTATAAGTTAAAATACATTTTAACCGTTATATTTCTTAACATGTTAATTCAACCATATATTTTATTATTTTATATGTGTTACTTTCACCGGGCTACTGGAGAACTGTGCTAATAAAAGTTATTGGTTAAACTGAAAAATATATTTTTCCGCTGATGATTTAAAAACTATTGAATAGGATTATGAATAAAAATGTATGCATTCTTATCCTTAACATTTACATACTGACTGTTTAACACAGCAGGACATGTTTAAATAAATCATTTTCCCCAGTTTAAATCTCGAAATATATTTGTTAACTTATTTACAATTTTTCTTAACTACAGCCTAAACTTTTAGATCCTTAACAGAAGCCACTGTCACGGGGGAACATTTATATATCATAACAAAAATTTTTGTACTTAACTTACTTGCTTTTTTCAACATGCATATTACAATAATTCAGATCTATATCAAATGAGGCTGTTAGAGGCAGAGTGGCCTAATAACAAAAAACATGACTTTCATTAAGGAGGAAAGTTACAGTAGACAATTAACAGAAAATTAATGAATTTGATTTAAAGGGAAAATTAATTTGTACTATTAATGGTGTAAGAATTATGTTTAATGGAGAATTATCGATTGCTGTGCCCTTGTAGATTAAATTTTTATTATTTTGTAGATTTTACATTATTGGACTATAAAAATATACATAACTCCAGTCATAAAATTGCAGTTAGGATAGTCTGTCTCTAGCAGCCTCAGATAATTTTATATGGTTAAGTATTAATAAAAACATGCAATATAGAGCACATGTAACTTTTCCTTTTGTGATACCAGTTATAGTCATTAACTTAACATTATTAATCACCAATGTCTGCCAATCTGAAATTTTATGGGTCTAAGCTTAATAAGCCTATGCCCAGTAGAACATTGAAATAAAAGTACCAACAATAAAACGTGCTTCCTAATATTTTTCAGTGCCAAAATGGCGTCACCACTGGACAACTTTGTCCCACACCTGCGATTATCATCCCAATCTAAGGATCTCGACAAATCAAATTCATCTTTTTTATCCCTGGTAAGTAAATTTATCTTCATTTCACTGTTACTGCTGGTCCATTTTATTATTTATGGATTTTTTTAAATTATTTAATGGTTGTTTATTTTTTATTTAATAATACAACTACAATACAATATTTAATGTTGTAGGTTAAAAATTAAACTTACTTCCGTCTGTTACTAAGGTGCATATAAAGAGCTAGAGATTAAAAATGTTCACAAATTAGTCACTATAATATAATGTAATATTATTTTAATAAAAAAATATTTATTAGGGGCCTAAAATGATATTATGTACTTCGTGTACCCGTTCACAACGGGTGCGCGAGTTTGAATCGAAATCGGGCAATTTTATTTGGTATGTTCTAAATACTATCTCTAGTTTACGCGAGTAGTACACATTTAAATAAAACACTTTAACGATTTTAACGCGATATATATGAAATACTGTCTGTAGTTTACGCGAGTAGTATAAATTTAAATAAAACACTAACGGTTTAAAACGCGATATATTTTAGTGCGATATTAGTTAAACTTATTTGAAAATTATTCAACTGCGGCCCGACGTTGCGAATGCTTTGCTGCAGCCGTGGCCGTATGTTTTGTCATGCTGTGAAACACTATTATTCAAACACTTTTAACCCGACTGATTGTCATAGCCAAACAAGTTTAAAAATTAGATCATATGACGATGTACAAGTTAGGAATCATCCTTTCCTTAAGCTTAAAATTTGATCTGGCTTGCTACTAAAAAATCTCTACCATTTGCACCGTTTCCTTTCTAACGGTCTACGAAACAAATGCAATGGGCTTTCCAAATTTTGTTTTCCCTTTCGTTATTTATCTCCGATAACGTATGAGGTAATAAGTAGGCATTGTTACAAATATTACATCATTATCAATTTTTACATGATTAGAGACAAGATTGTCTATTTTCTGGCAGACGTCGTAGCTCCCATGTCTCCAGTAAGTAAATAAACAGTAAGAGTACAAATTAATGACGTCCAATCCAGGTTACACTTTGAAACCACGTGGTAGCGTTAGTGTAGTGACTAGTGAAGGTGTTCAGTGACAACCGATTTTGTATCTTACTCTCGACGTGATAAACATAATAATCGCCTGCTATGTTACCAGTTTGCAAACGCACGTTTCTCTTATTGGGGATACACGGTATTTGTGAACACATTACCCAATTATTGTAATGTTTTTTTAGGTGAGGTATATAAAATATGGACAGTTTTTTTACCAAGTAAGTGACTGAGCTTTATTTTTCAATGATTTTCTTAGTTTTAAAATAATGTGAGGAGTCCTTTGTTATATTCCGCGCGTGCGATTGCGCGTAAAATCCTGCGATAGAGATGACATTACATAGAAAACTGTTCAACTTACCGGATCTTAAAACTTTCGCATTACTTGCTGTTTTCTCGATTGATCTATATTTGATTTATAATTGAATGCTTTTAACAGGCATAATGGGAAATAATTGTAACGGCTGACGTTTTAGTGTGATATATTCAGGTTTGCATTTACATATCAACGCTTTTTATTTAAAAGTAGCTAAACTAGTAAGTTAAATTAAAACTCGTGAAGCCTATTCGTTTTAGTACATTGCAAGTTATGTTAAAACTTATTAGTCCAGAAGACGTTGAATATTTTTTTTGTTTATTTTTATTTTATGTTTATGCATTTTAGTTTGCAAAAAAATTACGACACGAGCAGGACTTCCGACATCCACAGCGTTCCGTGCTCTAACGTTCGTTACTCTAACGGCTAACCAATTGAGCTACCGTGTCCTTGCTAGCTTGCGTTGCCCATGTTCCACCAACATGGGAAAAATATTAAGGTTTTTAAAGAGTAAAATATTTGTTTATTAAAACAATGTTATTTTATATTACGGATAATAAACGAAAAAAAAAACTCTAGGCTAAGCGATGTCTTCTACTGGTCAGTGTTTCAATACTTTTCAATATATTCTCTATCACATAGATATACTGTAGGATACCTCTGTTAGCTGCCACAGTGAGGAGTTTCTTACAGGAAATTTTTGCGTGTCTCATCAAAATGCTTTTTACAGAAAATTAAGTTTAATAGTATTCAAGTGTGCACCTCGCATTCTGTATTTTATACATTTTACTAAGCGTGTGTCTGAATCCCAGGGCTCCCTCAAACCACCGTAGCGGGTTAGTGGTGTGTTTACGTGTATCTGGTTGGCTATTGTGCCCGAGGAGGTTGTAGTCCGATTTATCACACTCCTTACGTCACTATTGCCCGACATGGGCATGCATTAGGCGTTCACACCACTAGTAAAAAGGGCGTGTGCCTGAATACGTTTTGCGTTTTCCTCTTAATAAAAGTGTTTAATTGTAAATGACATGATGTTCCAGAAACAGACCATCTGCAAGGATGAGTGCAAGTCAATGGGATTGGTCGCTGGCTTCGGCCGACGGCCTGCTGACCTATAATGAGAAGTCGTCGCTGCTCGAAGTCGACCTCTTCGCCACTGATGACGGTTAGTTTGAAAAAAAAAATTGAAAATATTGCAACTCACGCCACACGCTTAATATATAAAGCTGAAGAGTTTGTTTGTTTGAACGCGCCAATCTTAGTAACTACTGGTTCGAATTGAAAAAAATTGTGTTGGTTACTCGTTGTGGGTAACAGCTTAAATTTATAAATATTGAAGGTTTGCAAAAACAGATTTGATGCCCAAAATAACTATTCTACGCAGACGAAGTCGCTGACGCAGCTAGTAAAATATACCACACCAATAATTATCTCTATATATTAAACACATATAAGTATTATTGTTTTCTCATAAAGTGAATATGTCTTTTTTTAGAGAATTTAAACCGATGTACGTTTGGTTGCTCGGTTTGAGTTCAAATTATAGTCATTATCATCAGCTTACGTCGCATTACTCAGTCCTAACTCAGGCTCTTTTTAAAAGGTTTTTAAATAAATTTATCGCGCATATGGCCACCGGTTAAATGGTCAGTGTACATATGTGTGTTAGTAATAGACGCCGAACTTTTGCTCCTAGGCCATAACGCTTTCCTTACGGTGATTTTCAAAAACAGAGAATGTACTAAAGAGTTATACTTTGTTGACCAACCGGATATATGCTCCTAACGAACTAGAAACACGAAATAAGATATACAACGCAAGTATAACAGTTATGGGAAACTCAAAATTTTAGGTAAATTGTTTTGTCTTCATCGCAATGACAACGCACTATCCATTTCTTTCTGCCTCATTATAATGTATATTTTTCGTCTAATGATAACTAAAACGTATTTATAATATAAAATAGAAACAGCATATAGCCCTTGTTTCCAAAACAAATTTGACATTTAATAGGGTTACGATAGATAATAAATTTACCATCAAGCTGGCATGTTATAGTTTCTTAATATTATCTAATGTTCTATACTGCGTTATAAACTATCTTTTCTTTATATGTAACTTCTTTACTTACAATTATTTAAAAATATAATTTGTAATATATTTAAACTAATGTGTATATAGTATATAATGAGAAATACAATCTATAAATATAACCTCTATTAATTTACAACATTGAAAAGCACAATAGAATTGACATAACTCACAGATCTTATTGCATATACACATTCCATATGTTGAGATATGTTGATGTAAATAATAGATTTTCCATATAGACAACTAGATAAGATTGTTCTATAACATAATTGTTAAGCTCTGTTTAACCGAAGCCAAAATAGGATGAGAGAGCATCGTGTTGTGATGTTATATGGCTGGGAGTATTACACCTTCCATCAAGGGAAACCCAAGCTGTTTGTCTTTCTCTGTCATAATAAAAGTACTTACGTTTCCATGGTTACTAAGTAAGAACGTCTCGCAATTAACGAAATACAAGATGCAGAGCTGCTAACTTGTGATTATAATAAGGGGACTATATAAACAATGTGTGATACGGCATTCTAGGATTGTTGGTTGTTCCTGCTTATAAAACCTAAGTAGTTAAAGTATACACTTCAGTTAGGTCGTAATATTATTATGTGCTACATGCTACATAGAATGTTATGTCAAAGAGTGTTAAACTCCATCGACATAATATTCTATGTTGCCTCGGTTCTAGTCCGATAACTCACCTTAACAGATGACCTATATCGCAGTCATTATAAATTTATAGAGAATAAAATAATATCAATCTATAGCTAAATAGCGGAATTAATTATTATTATTATTTATAAACATTTAATTGCACACGAGACAACAATTGCAAGTCCATGGGCGATCTTATTGCTAACAAACCTTTACCAGGCAACCGAATATTAACGAGCTTTAGAAAAAAGTAATATAAGATTACACCAGCAATCTCAATTGTAGAATTGAAGGGGTAGCTATAACTAACTACTCCACTTGGTCAGTAGATATTTTATGAACTGTGTTCCACTAATCTTTCTACCTTTTTAACTACTGAAGAGTTAATTAAAAAAAAAACACATTTATAGTCTTCACGTCTTCACGTTGTTTATTGTCGTGTTATATTATGTTTACGCGAGAAGTACACATGTTAACAAAACACTTAATGGTTAAAAGTGTTTTATTTTAATCAAATTTCATACAGTAATTTTCAATGAGATTCAATTTGTGATTTAAATTTAAATTTAACGGTTTAAAACGCGATATATCAGTTAAACTTATTTGAAAATTATTTTTAACTTCGGCCCGACGTTTCGGATGCTTTGCAGCAGTCGTGATAACTATAGACAGTATTCAATTTGTGATTCTAAATAACCGACTGTAAAGCCGAAAAATGTTATATGGAGATTACAAAGACAGCCATTGGGCCGGTAGTAACAATGTGCAATAAATCGATTTTTTGTAGTTTCGACTCCCAACGAGTTAGCATGGTAGGTACTTTACATTTCAGATTTATTTAGCCACAATAAGTAACCAGCGCTTTCATATTTAGATATTATATAGGTGGGACAATTCACATTCCATTAAATGAACTCCATGCTTGATGGTCCTACTCTCTCATTAACTTAATATCATGTTCGGTTTGTTAGCCGTGTCATGCATTCTGTAACCTACATGATGTTATCTGAATTGTCCCTCGCGATGGCGACGCTTGGCCCCCCCACGGCCTAACCTCATGAACAGATAAGCCTGGGGTCAATATTTGTCTCCTTATCCTAGCCATTCTTCGCAATACTGCGTCAATCAATTAAAATTATCTTATATAATCACACCGCTCGCGTCCGATAGAGATGGCTAAATTATTATGCGTTTAGATTTTTAACGCTATTTTTTTCCATTATTAGCTTTCGTCCGCGACTTTTTGGCAAAATAGCTTTCGTCTGACGCTCAAAACTATATTTTTAAATGATCTAAACTCAGGTTTTAAATTTACAGACAAAGTAATTGTATATAACCATGTTATATAGTGACTTGAATTCCCTATACATTATAGTATATTGCCTTTGTGTTCATGTAACGTAACACTGAACCGCCCTCGAAGGAGATAAAAAACATTTCCCACCAATTTTCATTTACTCGTCTCGAGTCTTAAACTAGCTGAACCGATTGGTTCAAGCCGGTCTATACTAATAAAAATGTACCTGACATAATTTTCGTGCTGTTTCGCGTGTATCTGTTTGTATTTTTATTCACTATTATCCGGCGTCGGTTAAAAATAACTAATTAAGCCACGAGGTAGACACATGTCTGCCGCATCGTTCTTTTAATGAGGAGATACAGGTACTTTTGTCTACCAAAACAGTGCTTTCCTGGTTATATTCAGGTCATTAATTGCATCTTGGCAATGCGTGTATCACCTTTATAAAGAATTGATGTTAGACCAGTATAGCATTGGCGCAATGGACGGTCTGATATCTAACAAGCGATCTTTTTCCAAAAAGAAAAAAAAATCACCTCGCAAGGTAACATAAGACATACTATAAATAAAATACAATTAAACAAAAGTACCAGTGATACAACTTAATAATACAAATATCTAATGTAACCGACTTTATGCATAGTTAAATATAAATTAAACAAATTCATAAAACAGTAATAATCTTATACTATCTGTGTCAGCGACTTCGTCCGCGTAGAATAATTATTTTAGGCATCAAAATTTGGTTTTTCAAACATACTTATTTTTATAAAATATAACATTACCAACGATGCGCAGCGTTCGTGTCCCGTTGCGTTGTTCTTGCGATTTAATCTTTAAAGATAGACATATATACTGTCGCGGACAATTTTTTAGATCATCTAATGAGGAATTGTTCTGTCTACCATATTTTTGAGTATCAAACCGTATTCGCAGATCACGTAACGGAAGCCTTCAAAGATGAATAAATCTCCCTATTTTTTCATTTTCCAGTATTTCTTCGCTCCTAATGTTTCCTAAAGAAAAAGTAATTAGAATCAACACAAATATTTTTTTATTCAAAATCTGACATTAGCGCCTTCAATCAAACAGACTTCAGCTTTTTGCCATGCCGTATTTTTTTTTAGACTAAAATCGATTTTTAAGTTCCGGCTCAGTTACTTACGTTGCGAATCACGCGATTTCTGCGTATCCCACTAATTTTTAATTACATAAACATACAATTATCATTAGTCATATATACTCAACAATGCTACGTTATGTTTGTTCAAGTTATTTTAGGCAAACAGAGATTGTGAACTGAAAAAATTCCTTTGTATGTTGACTCTTAAGGTTAATTATACTTCGAGAGTGATATAATGATATCCAATAATATTGAAAGTCATCGTAAGTCATTTAGCACGAGTGGGTCTGGGTTCGAATTCCATGTAAACGATAATTTATCTCGAATGGGCACAATACTGAAATCTAATCAATTTGCCTTTAAATAAAAGGATCATTAAAAAGGACACAGAAATGTGTTTGCCCAATGCACCGCAAAAGCAAACATGATTTTAGACACACACGATATTGAAGTATTAAAATGTAATTATTCACTTAATTACGAAATTCTCTCTGACGACAACAGGTATCCTTCTATATTTTTTGTCTTACGCGAGTAGTACATGTTTCCATAAAACACTTTACCGGTTTAAAACGCAAAATTTATTAGTAAAACTTATTTCAAACGGCCCGATGTTTCGGATAGGTACTTTGCAGCAGCCGTGGCTACGGCGAGACGTTGTGTCGTTGTTAAAATAATTTGTAAATAAGTTTTAATAATATATTTTGCGTTTTAAACCGTTATTTTTTAACTCCATTAAAAAAATAAATCCTTTAATCTCGTCATTTAATATCACGTTTTTTGAGAACTGACAGTAAATTAAAATGTACAACAGCCTTATTTATTCGAGTATAATATTTGAATTTTGAAATAATTAATCACGACATCCTCAATGAGTTGCAGCCAAGTGTTCTTTTATCTACGCTAATCATGCTTAAACATTGACAATTCTTTTGCGATGAAACAGAGATCTTATATCTAAAATTTGTTAGGATGCAAAAAGTACTCAGATCATACGAACCTGAAAAACGTTGTATATTTATATATTATGTAAACACAAATTTACACGCAAAGATAATATTTGAATAGAACTAATAACAGCACACCCAATAAGTGTGCTTTTATCTTCGCCAATATATAATTAAACATTAACTGTTTTGTGACGAAACGGAGATCTGACAGCTGAAATTCGTTAAGATGACTCGCTGAAAAAAATTCCATAATTCTATTTATGTAACAGTTCCGTGCACATGTGATACGCTATCAGTATCACGCAGGTCTCTTTCGTATTTGAATGCTCACCATTGGTTGCTATGCGAAGAGCGTGGGTGTGTCTTGATAATCATTAACTCGGCAAGTGATTGGCGGAATATTGTTTATGTTCGAGAGTATGACGTCAAGGCTCCTTCGAAAACAATTTATATTTATTTGGCCCTCTGCTCATGTTTTCGAAACGATATCTCCCGAGCTAAATGTTTTCCACACAATTATCTTGTCTCCAGTGCACTGGCGACGATAATATTGACAAATAATTCCTTGTTTTATTCCAAGACTATTTATAATATCTCACACAAACATATGCATATCGTTTAATTCGTGGGATATAAAATAGAATCTTCATTTTTGCTATATATTTGCAAAAAAACAGACAATTTATGTTTCCTGTCTTGAACCACCTTAATCATTTTATATAGAATCTAACTACTGACTTTAACACACAGGCGGGTTCATTTTAATCTTTACTGGTTCGAATTGAAAAAATATTTTTGTGTTGAATTGACCATTTACTCAGTAAGGTTTAGGGAGGTATTAAGACTAGAAGCCATTCGGGTAAATAATGAACTGATGGCGGCCCGCGAGAAGTATAGGTAATTATAGACAATAAAGAATTGATAATAATGTATTAAAATTTAAAAAAATTTATGTCGGCGGGCCACCAGAATTCTACCGGCGTGCTGCGGTCTGTTTGTCTCTGGGTTTAGGCTATAAACTCTTCGGCTAATAGGATTGTAAAAAAACAGTGCGAAAACGGGAAACATTCTTTGAGATCATTCGTTCCTTGCGCTGCGATAATGGTTCGAGAAACAAAAAAAAAATACTAAAGATGGATTCCTCTTTCAACAACCACTACAAAAGACACTACCGTTGTTATGGTCGAATTTCCTCGAAATTATTGCACACGACAAAACGTTTGCCGGATCAGCTAGTAACTATATAAAACCAAATAAATACTAGGTCTACACTCACAGTGCTCTCATAATGCAATAATAGGTATTTTAATATTAATTATTTTTTATAGTTTTTCCGATATTATCAATAATTACCTTTTTTATAATTATGCTTTTTAACGTTTTCTCGAATATATCAAATTTTCAAGAATCCTATTGGCCATGGTTGGTAACCATTAGCGTGTAAAAATATATATATATTGGGGTAATTATTCGATTATATTTTTTTATCAATTATATATTACTACACATTTGTATGTGTAGTGTATATATAATTAATAATAACAATTGTTTGTTAAACACGAAACTTATATGACGACATGTGGCTAGGATCTGTGTCTTGATTGCAGATTCGTATTTAGATTTGGAATAATTGGCTTGGGCAAATACCTTTCAGTATGTAGAAGCATATTCGTCAACATCTGTAGAAAACTCGCGATAGCCCAATTGGCAACTGGTCTCTCGCAATTCGAGTTATTGTTCTCCCCTTATCGCGTAAAATTAAAAGCATCGCGACATCTGGGCGGTACTTTGACGTAACATCGTGTGACAGATATCGTTCATATATATATTGACGTCTTCGGCGCTCCCGCCATATTTTGTATTCCACTTATCTAAGCTTCTTACCTTGAAGCTTCTCCGATATATTCTCACAAGTCGCAGTTATCTCTCTAATTACAACTCCGTCTAGTGTTGTACACTAGCTTGTTTAGTTTGAGTTTATTTCATTTTATTTATGGACGAGATGTGTTGTTTAAAGAATAGCGGCATGTGTCACTTGTGCAGGGAATTCCAGTTATCACTGTTTCAGAGTAAGGTTTATGATATTGTCGTTTAAATGTTGGTACAGTCTTTCGCGTTAAGAAACTGCAAATAGAATTAACATCGTCGTTATATTCTCCTTAATGTTATGTTGAAATTTAAATTATTGCAATAATCTAAATTTTTGTACGCAGATCTGCTTAAGAACTTCTCCAGCGCAGCAGCTGCAACGAAGATCGAATCGAACTATCTTCCCGACGACGTGTCCATCACGTTGTACCCACCATCCCCGCCCGAGGCTAAGCCGAATCGCGCTGATCTCGCTAGCGATCTTCTGCAGCAGCTAGACAATCAATGCAAACAAGGTCAGTTATTAATTATGACACAGGCGATATTTGAACTTTTTTGTAGTCTGTTTATTCTACGTTATTAAGAATTTTTGCGCTTTAAAATTAAGGAATGGCTGAACCGCGAGTTTATTACCGAATTTTATCTAATACTATCGCTAAAATGCGGTATTGAAAAGATATTTATTTAAGCGGAAATGTTTAGAAATACATTTTTCTTATTCATATTTTTACTTACTTTTAGACAGAAAATTGTCTCTTTCCCAAAATTTTTTTTAAACGTTTAGTTTTTTCATTTCATCGTGTTTTCAATCTTTCCTAACGCACTTTAAATGTGGCTAGTAAAAACGTCATTGGCTTTTTGCACCTAATCCACGGCTAGTACTTTGTAATACCGGTAGACTTCGGATCGTTCATTTGCTATCTTAATTTAAAAACCTTGATTGCGCTTTTAATAAAGTCTCTTTCCTGATGTGAAACTATGTAGGGCATAATGCGAAGAAATTTCTATGTTCACTTAATGCATTTTATTTACTTACGCGACTAAAATTTTGAAGTAGGTCGTAAGAATCCAAAATGTTAACTATGCATATTATCTTTGAAAAATTTTTTCCTAAAAAGTATAACGTTTTTGCAGAAGTCCAAATTTATTTTTACCGACTTTAAACTTTTCTCGCTTTTAATAATTTAAACTTGTATAATTTGCATATTATGTTCATAATTAATTTCAAAGACGCTTACTAACTAAATACACAAGAAAACCTTATTGTAAAAAACAATATAATATTTCAATTGATATAAATTTAAACGTCAATGTTGTAAGTATTATATTCTTTTAAAAATATTTGTGTCACAGTAAACTGTTGGTAGGAAAATTTTAATTGCGTAAAAAGTGTTACAAATGTTAGATCCTTTAAAATCCGTGTTATCTTTAATATCTCCAGTGCGAATGATAATATTAATGATGAAACTTTGTTGTAATTTGCAACATCCTGCTAGAAAGAAATTAAAATATTTGACAGGTTTATTGGCCCAATAGTACATTTGCATGGATAAGGTTTAAGTGGTTCTAAAATCACTTTATAACTCCTTTCTTTCTTTTTTATTTACTGAAACATGTTACACATACAAAATCTGTACATTAAATGAGTAAAAATCCATTAGTGTCGCGAACCACAGTCTACAGATGAAAAAATCGTATCAAAGTAGTATCCAGTTTTACTTTAAGTCTGTGGATTTTTACTATCCAACGCCAAAATAGGTGATTGAATACATACGATTCGGGGTTTTTACGATGGGCTAAGATAATAACGAAATAACCAGTAACTTTCTCTTATTATAACTCTGTATTTTTACAAAAATACGTCTAATTCTGAAGTGGATCCAAGCATGATTTCTAACATGGTTCTAACATGCGCATGGCCTAAAATTGGCTTATAAAGTATTGTAAAAAAAAGTTCTAAAAAAATAAAGATTGTATTTTACAATCAAACTTACGGAAGTATTTTTTTCTTTGCATTTAAATGGTTCCATTGTGTTAGATGCCATTTTGTCGAATAGACAATTATGATTTCTTTATAATACATTTTCGTTTTAAAACGTTATGATTTTCACACGCTACCATTATATTACATAAAAAATCGGGCGGTACTAGAACTTGGTCCGTGCTGCTGTAAGCAATCGAGCTATTTTGTTAACTCACGCACGTGCCATCGATTTTTTCAGTTTAAATAGTTTTTTCAAATAAAATAATTTTGCAAACTTGCAAGACCTTTGGCCTTTACCCTCCTAAAAGTTACGCCTCTTGAGTTATTAATAGACTATACGCATCAATTGTACTTATCTATCACTCGCTGTTCACATGTCAATGTTATTACCGAAACAGCTTTCTTATTATCGCTTTATCGACCAAAATATGAAAGAGCAAAGATTGGGCAAAAGGACACACCCCTGATCACGTACGAGTGCCGTGCACGATGACGTATAACTTTCCTTATCTGGGTAGGTGGGACAATATATTCTGCTCAGTTGTACACCTGTTCCAAGACTATAGACCTATCAATTAAAGCACTGTATCATCTGGGCACTGTATCATCTGGGGTCTGAGGAGCGGGCTGAAATCCGCCACGCTTTCCTAGCACGCTTTCCGGGTTTAAACAACTACCGTCACTAATTTAGCGTGAATTCACGAGACCGATAATTTAACACGCATTCCAATAAATGGGGGGGGGGATGATCGTATTTCTGAGCTCGGGTTTATGCTTGAAATTTTATTAGAAATAATTGAAATACTGTCTATAGTTTACGCGAGTAGTACACATTTAAATAAAACACTTTAACGGTTTAAAACGCGATATATTAGTTAAACTTATTTGAAAATGTTTTTTCACTTCGGCCCGACGTTTCGGATGCTTTGCAGCAGCCGTGGTCACGGGGAGACTGCTGCTGCAAAGCATCCGAAACGTCGGGCCGAAGTTAAAAATCATTTTCAAATAAGTTTAACTAATATATCGCGTTTTAAACCGTTAAAGTGTTTTATTTAAATAATTGAAATACCAATATATATTTCGCCGGCCGAGAATTCGAACCCGTTATCTTGGGAGCTGCTAAGTCCAATGCTATAATAAGTAGAACAACCAGGTAGTTTAAAAATTATGTGCTTTGGAACATCAGAAAACTGTGTAGGTATACTACCTGTAAAACAATCTAATAAAAATATCTATAAACATGTTGTCTCATAATAGTGCCTTTCTCAACTCATTACATCACATCTGTTTGACTTAATTCAAACTATAGGGAAAAATAATATAGAGTTTCGATTAGACAGGTTACACACCTATTAACTACTTCGTTTGCCCCGTGATCCAAATAGGGAAAGAGATTCATCTTCATCTACAACAATTTAAGAAAATAACCGGCAATTTGAATAACTCCTTCTCTCACAATAGAATAAACTCTCTTTCAGATAATATCCACTTAATCATGCTGACTCCTGCATCCGTTAAGCTAATGTGATAATATGTACTTGTGGTTGTAAAGGACTCTCTCGAAAAAATCTATCACTTGAAATAAAATGTTTCCATCGAGAGGAGAATATATAGTGATTTGAAACATTGGACAAAATTTGGCGATAATAAATTATCTGGTCATAGTTGTAACAAGATCGAACCAGTTGAAAACAAAGTAGATTAGGCAAAACGACACACCCCTGATCACTCGGTCGATTCGTGCTCCAGTGCGGAGTCTGATCATTTCGATTGCTTTTATCTATTTTGATAATATTTAAATAAACGCGAAAATATTCCGCTGAATTGCATCGTCGTAGAGATAGTGAAATTGAACGTGACTTGACGATATTAATCTAAACATCTACTTTCGGCTGGGTTTTTGATTGAGTGGCTCGTTGGCCTGATGGTAGCAATGTAAGGCTAATAACGGGTGGCGGGGTCGACCCCTACCTGAATCCAACATGTTTCCAATTACCTAGCTGTGCCAGCGACTTCGTCCGCATAGATTAGTCATTTTGGGCGCCAAAATTTGGTTTTGCGCACTTTCTCCTCCTCTTTATAAATTATAGCTACCCACGACAGTATCCCTTAACGTATGCGTCCCGTCGTTCGATTCGTTCTTACAAGTTAATCTTAAAAGATAGACACAGACAAGAAAGAACCCTGCAAAATGCATATTTTTTCCGTTTTTCTCACATTTTCTGCTGTTTCCGGGCTCTTATTAGTCACATCATGTTTTATAGCCTAAAGCCTTCCTCGATAAATGCTCTAACACAAAAATAATTATTCAATTTTAACCAGTAGTTCCTTAAATTAGCGCGTTCAAACAAACAAACTATTCAGCTCTATATATTAGTATAGATTTAGAATTCTTTGAAACATGTCGAATTTGTCTCAAAATCGAATATTAAATGTGTAGCGTAGGAAGTATTTCAAACTAGACGTATACTTTTTATTGTACCAGTATAATAGTACATTACTGCAGCGGCCTACAAGAGAGGCGTGAGAAGTTCATCGATGCCTAGTTGCGGCCAAGGCTTATAGTAATTTTCTTAAAATAATGCGCGACAACTAAAACTAAGTAGTACAATTCAGAACTTAAAAGCCAATGACGAAGTTGACGAACAATTTATAAAAAAGTTTTTTTACGCGATATAGTATGTTTATTTTTCACTAAACAGTTTTCTAAATTAGCAAGCCAGTTCGAAAATTTAATTAAACTTTTGTTACGTTACCTCTTTGGTCGCCATGTTGCGGGGTAGATCAAAAAAGAAAATAATGTTGTAATACACGTAGGCAGTTTCCTGGACCTCTTCAATTTAAACACACATACGAAAATTTTATGTGTGAGATTAACCATAGATGTTTTCGGATCGTTTAAAATATCGTCGTTCGTCGTCGTCGTCGATCGTTTGTATACACGTACAACGCATTGCTTATAAAGCCTAAAAAATCTTGTTTGAATGTACGTATTATAAGAATAGGATAATAGCTGATAATATAACAATAGTACAAAAAGAAATCGAAAACTAAAAATCTTTTTTCTTGACTTACTTGAAACTTTTATTTACCTAGAATAATCATCGCATAATATGATTGAAACAGAATTATCGTTTTATCGCTCCTGTAGATAATATATATACATAATGTCGCAGTAGGCATATTGCCTTAACAATGCTGATAGGGGCAACGAAATGAGTTTTAAAATATTTGATTGTGTTTACATATATCTATATTTCTCATGTGTTTGCAAGACGCTAATTGTTATCTTTCACTAAAGAAAGTTACATAGGGGCATTATTTCGTTAGTTCTTAGTTGGAGTTGTGTTTCTTAAATGTTATAAGATATTAGCTGATCTTATATTTCATTTATAATATAAGGTTGCAATACAGGAATGCTTAACTAATAGTTATGCTAACATGCATTCTGCGTAGTACGTTTAAAGGAAGTAGAATGACAAGGCAAATGTGACTAAGATAAAGCTTAAATTTCTGTGTTTGGTATCTCACTTAACGCGGAGATTGCAAAATGTTGTCGTAAAGCGCCACCTCGTTATATTATATGCAATTATTACAGTTGGATTGAATCTGTAAGTACAGTGCATTAAAACCGGCCAAGTGTCGCATTGAGAGTGGTGGGGTAAAGCGCCGTGTTGACATTGCATGCTCCCGCGCACTCAGTCGAAGCGTGTATCGCGCCGCGTTTACCGTTCGTGGTATATCCGTGACAATAAATTCGATTCGAGAAGATCATATCGGGCGCTCGCGCTCAGCTCGCGACCTATGCCTGCCGCCGCTCAGCCGCCTGGACCCCGTTAGAATGAAGTACCACTATCGCTGCATATGGAATAAGGAGATAGTGTTCAATTCACAGAAACTTGTTAAGAGACGTTAGGTGCGACCGATCTACGTAGCGCCCACGACGACCATCGCTCGCAACACGAGGAATCCAGATTCAGCAATAGCACTGCCCATATAATCGTATTGTTAACGTTAGAATAATATTCCAACACTAGGACAGTTAAGGAAACGAACGGACTGCGCGATGGCACTCGCAGATCTGTATGCCGGTACGTGTTTTCATGACGACCGCGTCACTTTTAGGCGAATTTGTCTTGGCCGGTTTCAATGAAACTTATGACGGAGCAAACCAAGGTCTTCACGCTCCAATTCCACTGCTACGAATAAATCCCCGAGACGCTTATCGCAGCTTTTTTTTTACGTAAACACGGCTATGCATTATGCCTGTTCGCTTTTTAATTATCCGATGATGAAGTCAAAACAACATTAGCGCGATTTTGTTTTCCCTGTTTTATCGGCGAAGCGAACGAGATGGGAACGTTGTTTACTTAGAATACAACAAAACTAAGGAATATTACGAGCTCAATAGTGTAAACGTTTATCGTTAGACAAATAAATAATTGATCAGAAATAATGTAAACATGTTATCGAAGTCGCATGTTGCCGATTGACACAAGTACAGATTTTTTTTTTGCTCTAAATGAAAGGCAATTGTTTATCGTAGAATTCGCGCGTCAGATGACCGTGTCCCATTTCAGAAAGCTTTGCTTACCGCGCAAGAGAATAAAGAAGGGTTGCTTTATAATGTGACGTCACTCACATTTTTACAAGTTTTAATCCTTTTTTTATGATAGACAAAGTGACGTCACTAAATTAGGACCCCTTTGTCGCATAATGCGATATTTCATCCATCCCTACCCCCTTTAACACCGTGGGGGATATTGTACTGTTATTTCCTTAAACCTAGAATGTAATGCGCCACAAGTTAACAAATGACAAACCAGTTGGCTCAGAAGGCGACCTCGATAGCCGCTCGCCCAATAATTAAAGCAACTTGTGGTCCGTTCTTATGCATTGATATTGATCAGTTGTTTATGTATAAGGTTATTCGCTTTAACAGTAATTTTATTAACAACAACACCTTTTAACTTGTCAAATTTAATTGCGACAAAATAAGGGTATTTTTGGAGAAATTGTAAATAAACTACAAACACTCTCTTAAATAAAACGAACTCTTTATTATTGAATTAGGCGGTTTGCTATTGCGATGCTCGTCACGGCGTTGAAGCAAAAGGGTTATTTGTAAAATAAAACGGAGAAAATATTCCGCAAAAGAAAATATAACAAAATCAAATCACTGGAGTGAATACTCCCTGTGTTTTGATCACGTGTTTCAACAAAAAAAGACCTAGTACGAGTTCGTTGGCTCTTAGATAAACAGTGAATAATGATGAGGTCGTGTTGTAGAAACGTCAGATTGTTTTTGGTCATTAATATCATAGTGGCCATGGCGCGGATTTACGATACAAAGAAACTTTTTATAGCATCCCTCTATTTATACAAGGAATTTTCGAAATTACATTCACATCGTAATGTAACACAACGAAATAGTATTGAGTACAGTACTAGTATTGGGTAGGTTTTGATGCTTGACTCCTAGATTCTTTTTTTATGAAAGAAAACTTAAATAATATAAATCCTTTAATTAGGATCATTCTATCTGAGTATGCAACGAGCGACGCTTCGATAAGTTTATCAAGGGTCAGACATAGCACATGTAGTTTTATTGTTAATATTCAACCTCTCAATACATTAATGTTCATATTTAGCCTGTCGCTAACCAACGCATTCAAATGAAAGTGTTTTGTTTTTTACTAAGAACATTAAACTGGGAAATATTCTATATTTAAATACTCAACGCTTTGCTCAGCATCATGTTAAGCGCTAGATGTTCGAATCCCAGTGTAAAAAACGTATAGTTTTAGTATATAGTAGACAGAAAAGTTCGTTTTTTTCGAAGTAAACTCAACATTTCGTGACGAATTATAAGCAATTAAAAACTGGGATTCACTCGGGATATAAAAAAGTACGCAATAAAATACTGTCTATAGTTTACGCGAGTAGTACACATTTAAATAAAACACTTTAACGGTTTAAAACGCGATATGTTGACCACGGCTGCTGCAAAGCATCCGAAACGTCGGGCCGAAGTTAAAAATAATTTTCAAATAAGTTTAACTAATATATCGCGTTTTAAACCGTTAAAGTGTTTTATTTAAATGTACGCAATAAAATTATTTGAAACCATTGTTCTTTTTACGAAAAAAAAAGCAAATAGATTACTAGACCAGTTTTTCGCACACTTTGTATATAAAAGAATTATAATTTGTGTTCTAAATGTATGACACATTTTAAGTTTGAAAATAGGGAAAACGTAAGAATTAACTCAATCGCTTCGAAATTAACAAAATTGCGCTGCGTAATTTTTCATTTCAACAATTAGAGTGGCTAACATAGGCGATAGGGCACATATTGACCTTACGGGGCCGAAGAACTAGTGTTATCATTATGTAGAAACTGTAGACAACGAATGATCGGTGCCACATAGTGTCAATTTAAATCAATTGATTTTATATGGAGCCGGGTCGATGTAGATGCCATTTGAAATCGATTGAAGATTGTTGAAACTAGGAGTTATGAAGACGACTACCTTTTAGAAATTTTAGCTGCTCAGCGGCATTTTGGGATAAGCGGTTTTTGAAGTTAAGCTATTTCACCAAAATACCTTTTATCTTTATATTGAATAAAGACCAGTGTCCTCATATGCTCTACATTCTTCAAAAGAAATACTTATATTATATCGCTGTACTATTATAACATTGTCAAAACTAAAAATAGTTTAACGCGATGAAAAATACTATTACTACTTTTTAGTTACTCTATAGTACTTATATGTGTATTAACATTGTATTTTATATTTCAGAAAACATATTTTCCAACTGGCTGGAAGAGAAGGTGGAGCTGCCCATTTTCGAGAACATCTCGCAAGTTCCGGAGCTCGTTAATGTGCCCCAACCGGTGTATCCCCAGCAGGTCGCGCCGCAGCCCACTGAAGATCTATTGCGCGAATTTGAGACGGTGTACGGCGCTGTCGAGCTCACCCACCTCACTCCGCCGCAGAGTCCACCCGGCCCGGCCACGCAGCTGCTGCTCAGCTACGCGCAACAAGCTCAGTGCTCTATTCCACCCGTGCACGTGCCCGAACAGTGGCCGATCCACGCCCCAGTAGTGCCCGACTACAACTCGCAAGCTCTCGAAGAGTTGGTTCGCCACCGCGCCGCGCAATTGACCTCACCTTTACCATCCGGCGACAGCGTATCACCGTCGTCTTCCCCGCCGTCGTCACCGCGCTCCTGTTCCACGGACGACGAGTGGGAGAGCACCTCCCGCCCGAAACCCTACTCGCGCAACGTAGACGACCGCCGCTCCCGCAAGAAGGAGCAAAACAAGAACGCGGCGACGCGCTACCGCCAAAAGAAGAAGGCAGAGATCGAAGTCCTCCTAAACGAGGAGCAAAATCTACGCAAACGCCACGTAGACCTCGGCGACAAGTGTTCAGATCTGCAGCGCGAGATCCGATACCTCAAGGGCCTGATGCGCGACCTCTTTAAAGCGAAAGGACTAATCAAATAAACGCCTCCCGGCTCGCCCACTCCTGCGAATGACTAGACCGCGTTGCGCGGACGCGCGACCCAGATTCCAGCTCTAAAAGAAGTTTTGGAGTTTTATCTTTCGATGTTATTATTAAGTTTTGTAAGCTAGTTTTATGTTTCCATTAAGCAGTTTATCTTAACCTTCGAGCAGCACTCGTATATGTCATTAGTCGAGGTATAACATCTTACATAGAACATCTTAAAGTAAAATCGCAAGTGGCGCCATTTTAACTTTAATTTTATGTTGAGGATAGGTTGCATTCGTTGATATGAAAGCATGACTTCAATCCAATCATTATTTTGCATATTAAATTTATCTCCCATTTATGTTTATATATCCGAATAACCAGAGTAATCGATACATACAATATTACATATAACATCTTACTGTTCTTGTTTTCATACAATATATGGAATGCGACGGCGGACATTTTTGTTTTATTTTAAATGTATTATATATTATCCTTCCACGTGGGTATTTCTTTCCTCAAACACGTTCAACATGCAATGTACCTACTGTGCTCGTGTATAAAATCATGTACAACCATTAGTTAGTACAACAACAACGTTTAGAACTCGAATAGCTTATCACAAACAAGAATGTTAATACCTACGATTAAGTATTAACAAAAATGACCTTGAAGCTGGCATCAATAAATAAGAAATATGGGCTTAATGCTTTAATATAAGCAAATCATAATAAACAACGGATTGTTTATTAAAATGGGAAGAACAAAGTATGAGGCTGCTAGAGCCAGAGTGGCCTATAACAAATCATGAACAAAACATGATTCTTCAGCATATATGCAATTAACTTTGGCGAAAATGTTTTGATTTAATGCGCTTATAGATAAACACTTTTAAAAACATAAAACCCGAAATATATTCGTTTACTTATTTTGACTGCATTCGATATTTTGGATGCTTAGCAGCAGCCATGTCAAGGACGACAGAAAGAAGAGTAAGTTTTAATCAGGGCTTCTCTATTTGTTTATCAATGTGAATTGTTCCCTTCTTCAATAAACTGGGTTTTAAATTCGCGTGCAAATGCAAACACGATTACAATAAAACGACAGTAAATAATAATTATAGGTTAGTACTAGGTTTTACGTAATATTGTCACGGTATTATTCAGATCGAAGTTATGAGGAAAACTATGTGCATTTAGTTATGGTTAATGAAGTGTTCATGTTTCTGATAAATACCATTTATTTAGATTGCTGATATAACAGGCTGCTAGAGGCAGAGTGGCCTAATACCAAAAAACATGATTTTCAATAAGGAGGAACATTAAAATGAGCAATTAACTTAGGCGAAAATTAATTTGTACTATTATTTGTGTAATAATTGTGTTAACAATTTTCGGTCACTGTGCTCTTCTAGATTAACATTTTTAGCCTTTAAAAGTATAAATAAGTCAAGTCTTTGAAAACTTTAAGAATTTTCACATGTTATTGCACACGATGGGACTATTAAATAATTTAAAAATCGAAATTAAATTGAAAAAAAATTTCGACGTGGGCTGTACTAGAACCGGCATCGTTAGCGTTCCGTGCTGTTGCTCTGCAAATTCCCTCCAAAGTCTTTATGACTTGCCTTATTTATTTTATTGCAGTTAGGCTACTCTGCCTCTAGCGGCCTAATATATGCACGATTTTAAATCATGAAGCAGTAACGTTTCGCTGTGTCTTATGTGGCCTTACATAAATTCCCCCGTGGGGTTCACATATTTCGGACCTCTGGAGGATTCTCTCTTAAAGCATTGTTAGGCAACACATTTATCCACTTACGTACGTCGATTATTAAAATATTGCGGTATGTTTTATTGGTCCAGATTATATATACATAAAAATAAATAAAAATAATACCGAAACGCTGATTTATCTTCACCATCTTTCGACCATTGTTCGTGAAAAATTCTATTCTACCACCATATCCTAAATTGTATTAGAACAAAATTAAAATAAGTATTTTAAAAACAGGCTGGCCCCGGTGGAAATCGAATCTACGACCCTTTCATTATTTATATACACGTAGCTGGCATTGGACCAACGAGTAAAGTTATTGTTAATTATTATCTGTAATGCACTACAGATAAAATATACAATTTATTACCATTCTCGTGTCGATAGTAGTCTTTGTTTCAAGATTTAATTTATAACCTTGTAATATTATGTTGACCTTCTCCCTTTCCAATTATAACTTTCGTTTTTATTTTCAAAGTGTATATATATAATCCAAAATAGATCGACAGCGCACCGTGTTAGATGTTGTATAGCTTGGGGATTTTACCTTGCATCAAGTGATTCTTATGCTTGTCTGTCCTCCTCAATCTAATGAAAAATTAAGCGTAGGTACGTGTCCGTCTTTTTAGGAAAACCCAATGCTAAGCGATGCCAAATAAAAAAATTATGCAAGATGTGTTTGAAGGGCTTTGACTGCTTCGATGGTTTAATGGTAGCAATATATGGCTTATAATCAACGGATGGTGGGTTTATTATAGTTACTATTTTTCTGAAACATGTTAGGCTTCGTGTAAATGTGAAATATGAAATCGGTTGTAGGAATATCGATATTCCATCCTGGTCACGAACCACCATCCAGAGATGTAAGCAGTGAAGTTTAATCGCGTTTCGTTTTCAGTATGTGGATTTCCAAATATCTAAAGCCAAATAACATATCATGCTTAGATGTTATTTGAGTGGGTTATTTCATCTTACCAAGTAAACCTCGTTCCTGCCTCCTCTGTCATACAAAAGAGCTCCGTGGTTTTTTTTTTAGTTAATTAATACCTATAATTTAACTACAAGACTGCTATAACAGGTACTTTTTCTTAAGTTCTTGCGTTTTCATTCATGGAAAAAACTATCGAAAAATATGTATATATTAATGTTTTATTTATCTCATGCATAAAGCTGTTTATTAAAGGTGTAGATATATACTATATCAAAATAATTTGTTTACGGAGCCTCTTTCTAATGGGTACTTTGAAACGCCGAAATTCCATAATTAGGCTTGCTTCTAGGAAACGCGAGCGCAAAATTAGGTCAACACATTACTTCCAGCCTACCTATGATGATATTGCGTTAGATTCCATTAAATATTAGTATTAGACAAGGCTATATGTATCGGCTATTGTTAAACTCTATGTCTAACATTTCGTTGAGCTCGAGGGCAAGGTTCGAATCCGAGGTGGAATATAGTAAACTGATGAGCAAAGAATTCTGATCAACTATATACTTGTGTACAAAGACGGTGAGAAAACAGACACAGTGATACGTCTGCCCCATGCCTTAAGTAATGACGATCGTGATATCAGAGTTATGAGGCGAAGTTATGTAAAAATTAATTCAAAGAAATAATAGACAATGGTTTATAGAAAACTTGTTGTCCGTGCAAAACATGTATTTATCTTTTGGTTTTTTAATTAACTCCGCCAACGATGTACTCACTTAAAGACGTACTTTCGAAATTATATAATACATATCGAAAGGTTATACAACAAACAAAAACAGTCCAAATATTTAATGCTTATATTATTTCAGTAATTAAGATAATTAGAGAATGAATACTCATTAATTGAGGTCACACGGCCTTAATAATTATTTATTATTCCCATGCTTATATATGGGACATGCTCGGAGCCAACATCCCAAGAATGCGCCACCCTATTGCTTTGAATGTATTATCATCCTCCCTTATCGCTGAGGAATTTTCATCGATTTAAATAAAACACTTTAACGGTTTAAAACGCGATATATTAGTTAAACTTATTTGAAAATGATTTTTAACTTCGGCCCGACGTTTCGGATGCTTTGCATCAGCCGTGGTCACGGGGAGTGACCACGGCTGCTGCAAAGCATCCGAAACGTCGGGCCGAAGTTAAAAATCATTTTCAAATAAGTTTAACTAATATATCGCGTTTTAAACCGTTAAAGTGTTTTATTTAAATGTGTACTACTCGCGTAAACTATAGACAGTATTTAATTTTCATCGATTCTAAAATATATTTTATATAGCTGGGCGGGTGAAGTGCTTATCTAAGTACGCACTCGCTTTAGTTAAAATGTTATATACCTATGACAGACTTACGAAAAGGCTAGATAGACTGTATAAATACTCGCGTTTAAAGACCAGCGTTTCACTTACAATCAAGTGGGGTGCCATATGACATCTATCAATTCAGAAATCCACAGACTGAAATCACACATAACGGCTTTTCCATCTGTGGATGGTGTCCGTGACCAGGACGGTATGGCGATATACCTACCACCCATTTCGTACTCCGGACAATTTTTTTATAATCCTATTTCGATTGAGAAACCGGATAAGTTTGTAAGTAAAGTAGTATATATTGCGAGCAATAATGAACATTAAAAAAATCATTCAAATAACTAACCAGGTGAAATAATAACCTATGAGATTTTTTAAAACATCGTTTGTAAACAAAATAAAATCCTACGTTACCCTGTAGGACATGCCTAATAATAATTCCAACATATTTCTGTGTCTGTTTCATGTTGAATTTAAACTAAGGACCTTATTCCTAACGCATAGTTGGGCAATACAAAGCGCATTAAAATATCTAAATAGATAAGCGATACTCGACAATAGAAGAGACAACATAACGTAGAAAATATACGCTATGCAAAATATCTAGAACCTTCGATTGATTGATTGAACCTGATCGCTTTCGTTTCCAGACCGGAGGAAGAACGTGCTCTTCGTTTAATTGTTCGGATTACGATTATGTGGAGTGTGTGTTCGACGAAAAAATTTATCCTTTTATATTCTACGCTACATTGGAATAAAGATATCTTATACAGACACTCACCAATCAATCGTGATCATTTAAAATAAGTTTATTAATGATAGAGGAGGACAGACAAGCATGTGGCACATTCATCTACGCAACGTGCGCTATCGACCTATGAATTAAAAAATTAGAAATATGTTGGCCCCGGTGAGGATCGAACCCAC